GCTTAAGTGAGTTGTTTACCCTGTGGAAATCCCATGCAGTGTTACAGCTTCCTGGAAATCACTGGCAAAGGAAAGTCTGGGTGTTGCTGCCAAGGTTTGATGTCTGCTGCTTGGCGCTCTAAGGAGCACAATTAGCATGCAGTTCCACCATGAGCAGAAACCACACGACCTGTGCACAGCTGAGCCACTCTGGCATTGTTTTAAAGAGCCCTTGGAGAAATACTGAAGGCAGAGCTTCAGGTGCTACGTAATAGACAATTTGTGAAACATTTCATTTAACGTCTCTTAACTATGGTTAAGCATACTTGTCCCATTTGGCTAGCTCTAGTGTAGAGAAATGCAGACATGCTTCTTACACTGTTTTCCCATTCCTTGGTATTTCTAACTGCATACCCATCATCCCCAGTGTGGACTTGGCCTCCCAGGAGAGGGCAGCAAGGAGCAGCAACTATTAATAGAAGATGGCTCATGCCTGTAATCCCAGTACTTTGGGAGGCTGAGGTGGGTAGATCACCTGAGGTCAGGAGTTCGAGACCAGCGTGACCAATATGGTGAAACCCCATCTCTACTAAAAATACAAAAATTAGGTGGGCATGGTGGCTACTCAGGAGGCTGAGAGAGGACAGTTGCTTGAACCCAGGAGGCGGAGGTTGCAGTAAGCCGAGATTGCGCCACTGCGCTCCAGCCTGGGTGACAAAGTGAGACTCCATTTCAAAAAAAAAAGATGTAGCAAGAGTGACTCAGTTATCCCCTGTCCCTGGAGACTAGCAAGAGGAAAACTAGAAATATGAGGCAACTCAGAAAACTTGATTAAACATCACTGACGGCAAGGGATGCAAAAATAGGGCAAAGGCTTCAGGGGCTGGAAATTGGCCCAGCCAGCAATGCAGTGCATGCTTTGAGTTTCAAGACAACGTGTTTCTCTGCCTCTTCCATAATGACAATGATAATGGAAGAGCCAGTTTTTCAGCTTTCCCAGGATTGGGCAGATGAAGCTGGGGTGAAGGACAGAACACAGTAGGCATCTCTGTCACAGGGCTACGAGATGACAGAGAAGTGGAATCTGAAAGACCTTGAATCCATGCCTGCTTTGTCTTTCTCACTATGCAGCTAGGGGCAAATCTTCTTAACCTACTCGGGCTTTAGTTTCATTGTCTGTAAAATGAGGGATTTGCTTCCTCTTGGAGTTTTTTGCAAGGTTTAAGTGAGATGACATTAGTAAATTGCCAGCCATTGTTAGTCACTTAATAATGGAAGCTACAATTATTTTTATCATAAGCTGAGGTAAAATATTCCTCCATTAGATTTATAAGACAAGCATCAGAAATTAAAAAGATAGATTTTTACATGCCCTAAAACTTAACCTGTGTTACAGTTTTTCAGTTGAATCTTTATGACTTCAGTTTGTCCTCTTAAAAGTCCATGAGCTGAAATGAAACATGTCAGAACCTGTGGACCCTGTGAGAGAATTGAAACCTTGTTCAAAGAGACCCCCATGCCCTGTGTTAGCCTGGCATAGGTGAGATTTCACAACTGAATAAGAAACAAGCTTCTTTTTTTTTTTTTAAGAGACAAAGTCTTGCTCTGTCATGTCACCCAGGCTGGAGTGCAATGGTACAGTCATAGCTCACTGCAGCCTCAAACTCCTGGGCTCAAGCGATCCTCCCACCTCAGCCTCCCAAGTAGCTAGGACTGCAGGTGCACACCACCTGCAGTGGCTAATTTTTTAAAAATTTTTTGTAGAGATGGGATCTCACTATGTTGTCCAGGTTGGTCTTGAATTTCTAGCCTCAAGCAATCCTCTTGCCCCAGCCTCCCAAAGCACGGGAGTTACAGGTGTGAGGCACCATTGCCATCCAAGAAAGGAGCTTTAAACACATTCGGTTCTTCAGATGCCTCTCTTACCTGCATCCCCCAACTCCGACTTTCCTGCTTGTCCCTCTCCTTTTCAAAGTGCATACATTGTTAAACTTCCCAAGTAGTGCTATTTTTTTCCCATTTTGTGAGAACCCTTTCTCATTTTCTCCTTCTTCCTTTTTTTTCCTTTTTGAGACACATAGAATTCCCTTATTCTATCACCCGGGCTGGAGTGTAGTGATGCGATCTTGGCTCACGGCAACCTCCCGCCTCGGGAGTTCAAGTAATTCTTCTGCCTCAGCCTCCTGAGTAGCTGGGACAACAGGTGCATGCCACCACACCCACTAATTTTTTTATTTTTAGTAGAGTTGGGGTTTTGCCATGTTGGTCAGGCTGATCTGAACTCCTGACCTCAAGCGATCTGCCCACCTCAGCCTCCCAAAGTGTTGGTGTTACAGGCGTGCACCACCACGCTCAGCCAATATTTCTCATTTTCTTCCAATAAACCTAGAGTTCCATATTAGAAAGCTCTAGAGAGAAGCATTTTTTGAAGAGTTCAGGCTTGGCCGGGCGCGGTGGCTCAAGCCTGTAATCCCAGCACTTTGGGAGGCCGAGGCGGGTGGATCACGAGGTCGAGAGATCGAGACCATCCTGGTCAACATGGTGAAACCCCGTCTCTACTAAAGGTGCAAAAAATTAGCTGGGCATGGTGGCGTGTGCCTGTAATCCCAGCTACTTAGGAGGCTGAGGCAGGAGAATTGCCTGAGCCCAGGAGGCGGAGGTTGCGGTGAGCCGAGATCGCGCCATTGCACTCCAGCCTGGGTAACAAGAGCGAAACTCCGTCTCAAAAAAAAAAAAAAAAAAAAAAAAGAGTTCAGGCTTTAAAAAAACAAACAAAACTGAATATTTAAATGCCATCCCTTTCCACTCAGTGAAAACTTTGTTTCTTACTTCATGAACCAGGTTAATAGTTACAAATTTCATCGTCTACTAATAAGCTGCAATTTCTCCATGATTCAGAGATGTACAGAGTTTTGAGCTAAAATGCTAGGCTACATTTTAGGCAGTGCATACATCAGTTTCTAACTAAGCTAACTTTTCATTTGGGGCAAGCAGCATTTTTTTTTTCTAATCAAGTCCCTGTAATCAAAGCTCATTTTTAGTTTTCTTTGACATCATGGCATTTTGTCAGTATAATCAGATGTTCTGTTTAAAAAAACAAAAAGCTGGCAACACACAATTTTGCAGAATAATCTTTCAGAAAATCTTTTTCTGGATCCTATTTTATCTCATTCCCCATTCTGTTTTCAGAAGATAACATAAAATACACTTAACACACTCAGTTTAAAATAGTGAAAGGCTTGGCTGTATTGGTAGAAAAAACCTTAAGCCCTGTTCAACCTTGATATTGATAAATTCTTTTTTTTTTTTGAGATGGAGTTTCGCTCTCGTTACCCAGGCTGGAGTGCAATGGCGCGATCTCGGCTCACCGCAACCTCCGCCTCTCGCTTTCAGGCAATTCTCCTGCCTCAGCCTCCTGAGTAGCTGGAATTAAAGGCATGCGCCACCACGCCCAGCTAATTTTTTGTATTTTTAGTAGAGATGGGGTTTCACCTTGTTGACCAGGATGGTCTCGATCTCTTGACCTCATGATCCACCCGTCTTGGCCTCCCAAAGTGCTGAGATTACAGACTTGAGCCACCGTGCCCGGCTGATAAATTCTTAAAAGTGAAGGAAGCAAGTAGGGGAAACTGATACCTGTCCCTGGTACCTGATGCCTGTCCCTTCTGTGGGCCAAGGGAGATCCAAGACAAATAAAAATGGGGAATAAGAAGGAGTGATTGTTAGCGAGGTTGTTTGAATAATACTTTACTCAAAATAATAGCAATGTTAGCTTACTTACATTTCATAAAATATTCTGGCCTTATCTCTTCTGAAACTTAAAATGATTTGCATAGAAACAAGGACTTGATTAACACGAAGCCACTGCCATAGAGTGGATCCTTTGACTTGTCTTTGCAGGTTAGTTCATATGCTTTGCTCAAGTTGTCATGAACTTTAGTAAATGAATTGGGTCTTCATTCCACGTTTTTGAATTTTTAATACAGATTAGCAAGATGTTAGACAATGGGAAAAGCTAACTATTTCAGACTAACTCTCTTTGGAGTAGTGCTTTGGAGGGATCATCATGGTTGTAGTGACTAGATTGCATTTTTGGGACAGTCCCACTTTAAAAACCCGTTCCATCAGTGTGCCTGTGGTCTGACTTTTAGTTCAGAAGATACAGCCACTTCTGCAAGGGGTTCAGATCTTGTATAGGTTCTGCAAGGTTTAGAGCCCAGTGTTGAGCTTACAAAAGAATGTGTATCATGCCTTTGGAGAGCCACTTCCACCATAGAGACGTGTGAGTTTGATTTGCTCCAGAGTTGCAGTTTAGATACTCACTCCGAATAGTACTTTTGCAGAGGAGACCATATGACCATTGGTTTGTTGTATTCCAAGGAAGCAAATCTACTCAGGGAACCGCGTTGAGGTGGAATCAAAACGAACTTTGATGAAGGTTTTCTCAAATTCTTCTCTTAGCTGCAGAACTTCTTTGTTAATGATGTTGTGTGTGAAAGCTTACCATATAAAATAGGTCAAAGCTGAGGCAAGGAGCTGGAAAACCCACCCTCTGGGCCTCCTTCCCATCCATTAGCAGCCTGAGGCCTTGGTAAGAGGCCTTTCAAGACTGTTGAACTTCATGGGCTTAACCATACACTGAGCTTGGGGGAGCTGTCAAGGATCCATCTCAGCCCCTGCTTCCCACTCAGCCAGACCCTGCATTCTAGCTTTGGTTGTGGGGATTCTCTGGAGGAGGACCCTTGGCTGTCTGTCCCCATGCATTTCTGATATCAGGCAGCATCATCCGCCAGTTGTGACTGTCCTGCCTGGACTGCAGGTTTGGTTGGGTGTGCTCTACAAAGCTTGCTCCTCTCGAACGTGCTCTGCTGTGGTGTAGCTTCCGGCGCTTCACTCTTCTCTCCGCTGGGATCCCTAGTGGGGCTGGATGCTGGTACCAGACTGTGGAAATGGTGAACATACAACGTGGTTCTCTTACCTTAGACAGACTTCTTCTGACTACCTTTTGTTTTGTTCAATAGATGATGATTCAGATCTGTACTCTCCAAGATACTCGTTTTCTGAAGACAGTAAGTGACTTTGAATAACCTGGTTGTGGGGAAGGAAGGGAAAGTGGTGGATGAGGGAAGATATCACCCTGTTTTCAGTTTTCATGAGTTTTAAGTCTTTTGTCTGCACTGTCTTTCTTCAGCAAAATCTCCCCTTTCTGTGCCTCGCTCAAAAAGTGAGATGAGCTACATTGATGGTGAGAAGGTAGTCAAGAGGTCAGCCACACTACCCCTCCCAGCCCGCTCTTCCTCACTGAAATCAAGCCCAGAAAGGTAAGCGCCCCCTTGTCTCTCATTCATCCCGCCTGGGCTTCATCAGTGTTCATTGAGACCTAGGAGCCTCCATTCTTAGGAATGTGGAATTTGAGTCTGTCCTCTGTCACCTATTAGCAGTGACTTATTCTTTCTTAGTCTCAATGTCCTCCTCTGTAAAATGGGAATAAAAGTAGCGCAATTCCCATTAAGGATAGTGCAAGGATAAAATGAGATAATGCGTGTTAGCATTCCTGGTAGCACTTGGCTTAGAGTATGGACTTAATTAATGTTGATTATCACTTTTTACATTTTCACAAGAGAAATCTTAACTGCAAGATTTGTCACGTTGTCATATTCTTTTGTGCGTACTGTGCTCACATAGTCATAGCAACGACTATAACTTTAAAATGAAGCCACACTTTTTAATGTCCATTTACTCATGCAACATGTATTATTGAGACAGAAGTCTTGGACTTATTCTAATGACAGCATTAGTAAATCTCTTAATGCCTGCAACTGAACAACACAGCAACCTCCGCCTCCCAGGTGCAAGCAGTTCAGCCTCCTAAGTAGCAGGACTACAGGTGTGCACCACCACTCCCGGTTAATTTTTGTATTTTTTAATAGAGACGGGGTTTCACCGTGTTGGCGAGGCTGATCTCAAACACCTGACTTGAGTTCTTATCTCTAAAAATGCTCCCTAAAGCAGCCTTCTCTTGCTGTTTGGACAGGTGTTCCATGCGTCTTCCAGCCCCAGCTTACACCACTTCTCAACACACAAAAGGCTCTGGGCAAACAAAATTATTTACTTCTTCCTTAAATACACATCCCGTTTCACGTCTCTGTACCTTTTCCAACCTCATAGGCAAATGAATGGCTGTTTTACAAGCAGCACACAAACTTAAGTGGCATCTACCTGAGGAGTTTGATAATTAATTGAAAAGCAAGCTGAGTATACCCACAAATCCCTTATAGGTGCCTTCATCAAGAACCCACTGGGTGTATTCTCTGCAGATTCAACCATATATTAAGGAAGGATCTAGGTATATATAAATCATTGTCTCCGCCTTCAAGAAGTTTACCGCCTTGTATGAAAAACTTAATACAATCATAGTGCAAAGTACAGTAATGTAAAAATAAAACAATTGCAAACTAGAGTTTATAGTAACCAAAACAGCTTGGTACTAGCATAAAAACAGACATATAGACCAATGGAATCAAAATAGAGAGCCCAGAAGCAAATCCACACACCTGTAGTGAACTCATTTTCCACAAAGGTGCCAAGAACATACACTGGGGAAAAGACAGTCCCTTCAATAAATGGTGCTGAGAAAACTGGTTAGGCAGAAGAATGAAGCTAGACCCCTATCTCTCACCATACAGAAAAATCAAAATCATTTACTGACTTAAATCTAAGTTTTCAAACTATGAAAGTACTGCAAGAAAACCTTAGGGAAAATCTTCAGGACATTGATCTGGGCAAAAGTCTCTTGAGTAATACTGCACAAGGCCACCGAAGCAAAAATGGACAGATGGGACCACATCAAGTTAAAAAGCTTTTGCACAGCCGGGAATACAGTCAACAACCTGAAGAGGTAACCCACAGAATGGGAGAAAATATTTGCAAACCACTCATCTGATAAGGAATTGATATCTGGATTGTAATAAGGAGCTCAAACAACTCTATAGGAAAAAAATCTAATAATTTGATCCAAAAAATGGGCAAAATATTTGAATAGACATTTTTCAAAAGAAGATATACATGTAGCAACCAGGCATATGAAAAGGTGCTCAATATCACTGATCATCAGAGAAATGGCAAATCAGAAGTACAATGAGATATCATCTCACCCCAGTTAAAATGGCTTATATCCAAAAGACAGGCAATGACAAATGCTGGTGAGGATGTGGAGAAAAGGGAATTCTTGTGCACTGTTTGTGGGAGTGTAAATTAGTACAACCACTATGGAGAACAGTTTGAAGGTTCCTTAAAAAACTAAAAATAGAGCTGCCATTTGATCCAGCAATCCCACTGCTGGGTGTATATCCAAAAGAAAGGAAATCAGAACATCGAAGAGATTTCTGCACTCCCATGTCGGTTGCAGCACTGTTCACAATAGCTAAGATTTGGAAGCAACCTAAGTGCCCATCAATAGGTGGATGAATTAAAAACTGCAGTACACATACACAATGGAGTACTATTCAGCCACAACAAATAATAAGATCCTGTCATTTGCAAAACATGGGTGGAACTGGAGATCATTATGTTAAGTGAAATTAGCCAGACACAGAGAGACAAACATGGCATATTCTCACTTACTTGTGTGATCTAAAAATCAAAACAATTGAAATCATGGACTTAAAGAGTAGAAGGATAGTTAGCAGAGGCTGGGAAGGGTAGTGGAGGTTTGGGGGAGAGGTGGAGATGGTTATTGGGTACAAAAATTAGTTAGAATAAGACCTACTGTTTGGTAGCATGACAGGGTGACTATCGTCAATAATAATTACACTTTTTTTTTTTTTTTTTTTGAGACGAGTTTCGCTCTTGTTACCCAGGCTGGAGTGCAATGGCGCGATCTCGGCTCACCGCAACCTTCGCCTCCTGGGTTCAGGCAATTCTCCTGCCTCAGCCTCCTAAGTAGCTGGGATTACAGGCACGCGCCACCACGCCCAGCTAGTTTTTTTGTATTTTTAGTAGAGACGGGGTTTCACCATGTTGACCAGGATGGTCTCGATCTCTCGACCTCGTGATCCACCTGCCTCGGCCTCCCAAAGTGCTGGGATTACAGGCTTGAGCCACCGCGCCCGGCAATAATTACACATTTTAAAATAAAGAGTATAACTTAACTTATTGTAACTCAAGGATAAATGCTTGAAGGGATGGATACCTCATTCTCCATGATGTGCTTATTTCACATTATATACCTGTAGAAAAACATCTTACATACCCCATACATATATACACCTACTATATACCCACAAAAATAAAATTTTTTTTTTAAGTTTTAAAAAATTTGCAAACTATTTCCAAGGATTTTTGTGTCCTCTGAAATCCGTCACTGGATGCCAGGTTAAGTATCTATGCCAAAGGCTGATGTTGGTGGGTAGCTTGGAGGGGTGTGGAATAGGGAAGAATCCAATCACGGTAGCAGCTAACATTTATTGTGTGGTTACTATGGGCCTGGCACTCTGCTTAGTGATTTACATGTGCTGTCTCATGTAAATTGTTTAGTCCTTACAACAACCCCATTTTTCAGATGAGGAAACTGAGGTACCAAGAGGCAAAATACTTGTCTAAGATCACCTAGCTAGCAAGGGGTGTGGCAGGATTTGAACCACAGTCAACTGGCTCCAGGACCTGTGTTCTCTCTCACTGCGCTAGTGTGAGCGGGAAGTACAGGCATGTCTGTGGGATGAAACGTGCATGAGAGCGAAGCAAGGTGAAAGATGTTTCCAGAGCCAGCTTTGCTGCTGCTGCCTCCTTCCCTGCTGCTTTCTATTCTCCCCTTCTCGCTGCCTGGTTTTGAGCAGAGGACACCTCAAGCCTTTAGTGAGGCGAAAACTGAAGTTTCACTGGCTGTTTTGAGAAGCAAACCAGCACAACTCAATTGTTTGCCCTGACTCTGATTCTATGCTTTGGATATAAAAGTTCTCTGAATACACTACAGCCGTCCAAAGTCAGACTGTGTCGGAAGCTAATGCCAGTTGTCATGAAAATAGCTCTAATAGAATTTTCTTTCTGCAGAAATGACTGGGAACCCCCAGATAAGAAAGTAGATACAAGAAAATACCGTGCAGAGCCCAAAAGCATTTACGAATATCAGCCGGGCAAATCTTCCGTTTTGAGCAACGAAAAGATGGTAATGTGCATATTAAAGTTCTTTTGTCTCACCTTGCCCATGTTCTTCCATCAGAATGCATCGTGCAGTTGGATTCCATTCTTTCCCCCTTGAGATAGACTTGCTTTGTTTTGAAGACAATGACAAAAATGAAGTCCTTTTGCCCTTTTCATTTTTCAGGTGTTCGTAAAGTAAGCCCCGCAAGTCTGCTTTTAAAAAATCCTCTTATTGTGACTTTGTTGCTCTTTTTGTGCATGGTTTTAACTAATATTAATTTTCCTACTAACATGAAGATTGATTTTTCTGCTGTCTTTTTTTAAATGTTTAACTGTTCATTTATCAGGTTTGTCCTTAAGTGGACTAAAGTCCAGTTTTTTTTAAGTGACTCTGAATGAGCATAAATTTTGTACAAGTTACTAGAATGTCATTAAAAGCTACCTAATGAATAGGATGTTGTGACTTGGAGAAAAGGCCCCAGGCTGTTAGAATATATCTTTTAGGTCTTCCTTTTTCAACAAGTGCCATATTGAGGACTAATTTCATATTCAGCCTGGTTTATGATTCCCTACACAAGTTCACATCTCTAAGCAATTATGAGTGGGGAAAATGGCGTGTATGGGTATAGCAGACCATCCTGGTAAAGCGGCCTCTTCTGTGAAACAGGAAGAATTCTTACACACTGGTTAGTTTCATACCTGCCAATCATGCATCATTTTATTCACCCTTTATCAGGAAAAGCTGGTTCAGAATTGTGATCCTAGTTAAAAGGGTTCTCCAAAGCTCTATAAACATTGCAGTCTTCCAGCGTGACAGCAGGATGGAATCATTATGCTGCGGGTTGGTCTTTATTAAAATGAGGTCACCACGGTGTGTACAGAACAAGCAGGCCTTTGAAATGCAGGCTCAGATTATGTTCCCTCCACCTCTTTGGCTCTACATGTTTTGAAGGAAGAATCGATTTGACTTCTGCTGAGATAAAAATGTGACATCTCTAAAAGCACAGAAGGATAAGTCATTTTAATTAGGAAAAAAGGTCAACAGGTTACAGAAATACTTAGAGGTGTTATTCTTAAGCGTTCAAGGTGCACCACAGTTATTTCAAGCAGAGAGTTCAGAGTCAAGCACAGAATTTTGCCTTCTCCCCACCCCTGCCTTTCGTTGGAGCTTCTCTGCTGTTAGAAGATACTGTAGGTAGAAATATGGAAGGTAACCTTGTGCCCAAATGCTCCCGCAAAGACAGTCATTATTCCTAACACCAATAATAAGTCTGGGACCCACCATTACCTATTAATACATTTAAATGATTTCAGGGACTCTGTAGACCTTTGGGTGTTTTGTTTTGGCGGCATTGCCATTTGTAGATTTTCATGGCGCTTATTGGAGGCTCCCTTTTCTTAATTTCTCTTTTGTTTCTAGGTCCTTTCCCTGGTTCTTAGTCATTTAACCACTACTCAGATCTAGGAAAGACATAGTTTAGTTTTTCTCACTGATACCGCCATCGTTTGTGAGAATCTTTGATACCATAGTTCTTGGGATCACTTACGTTGCTTTTACAGACCCTGAAAAGTAACTCATAGTGCCTCACGGGACCCTCGTGGGGAGTGGCGGGAGCATGCACATGGATTGCAAGGCTCCTCTGTGTGGTACCAAGCCCTAGGCCATGCCACTAACGGGGCTTGAACACCAAAGGCAGGCCCGGGAGGACGAGAAGAAGGAATGTCCAATAGTTTCATTCAGTACCTTTCACCCAATTTAGCTCTGTTTCTCCAAAGAGAAGTTTTTAATTTTAGAGAGAAACTTGAGTTGAATCTGAATCTTTTGACAGTCTGCCCTTCACAGTAGTTGAATTCATCCTTTATGTTTGATTTTGTTTCCTGCCGTTTTTATAACACGGACAGAAAAGGCAAAGTGCGAGTTTCGGCATGTGAGTCTTGGCTTTTGGTATCTATTACCTGGTTTGCCAGAATTTGAGCTTACACCCCCTCCGCCCAAATCCCCAAAAACACACACTTTCATTGTTAACTGTGGGTAAGTATACTAACTAGTGACAGATGTAGAATCTAAACCTGCTCTCAGATATGCACTACCTCATCTTGCGGGGGATAAAAAAGCTTTTTCCATTTGCGGTACTTATGTCTGCTTAACTCTGGCAATTTAAATCATGACTTCATAGGCACATACATGGTTAGTAGGGATTGAAAGGCAAACGCTAAAAGGTTGCCCTAGAGCGCACCTTGCCCCTGGAGCATACCCAAATCATTTCAGACAGATGGAAGAAACAACTGTACTACCTTCAAAACCTCCTATAGAAGACTTACAACTTGATGACCTAGCAATCCATTTGAAAGACTCATAAGAAGGTCTTTCTTACTTTCTTTTTTTTTTTTTTTTTTTTGAGATAGAGTCTCACTTTGTCACCCAGGCTGGAGTACAGTGGTACGATCATGGCTCACTAAAGCCTTGACCCCCCAGGCTCAGGCTATCCTCCCACCTAGCTGGAGCTACAGGCACGTGCCACTATGGCCAGATAATTTCTTTTCTTTTCTTTTTTGAGACAGAGTCTTACTCTATTGCCCAGGATGGAGTGCAATGGTGCAGTCTGAGCTCATCGCAACCTCTGCTTCCCGAGTTCATGCAATTCTCCTATCTCAGCCTCCTGAGTAGCTGGGATTACAGGCATGCACCACCATGCCCAGATAAGTTTTGTATTTTTAATAGAGATGGGGTTTCACCATGTTGGCCAGGCTAGTCTTGCACTCCTGGCCTCAAATGATTCACCTGCCTTGCCCTTCCAAAGGGCTGGGGTTACAGCTGTGAGCCACTGTGCCTGGCCCCAGCTAATTTTTCATTCTTTGTAGAGATGGGATTTTACCGTGTTGCCCAGGCTGGTCTCAAACTCCTGGGCTCAAGCAATCTGCCCCGCTTGGCTTCTCAAAGGGCTGGGACTACAGGCTTGAACCACCAAACCTGGCACATATGAGGGTCTTTATCTCTGCTTAGTCCCCTCTTATCATAGTAGGATACATTTTTCTCTTCTCGCCTCAGAATTGGGGATCTGTTGGTCAGTCCTTGCTCTGTCAGAAATGGCCTTTTTCAGGACACATTCTTTTATACCTTCCTCTAAAGTCTCTTACGGAAGTTCAGTTCAGTTAAACAAATATATATACATGCATGTAGAATAATTTTTATGCACAAGCCCTGGGTTAGACAATCCATTCCCATGCATGTATAATAGGAAGGACAGATATTAGGAGAGTGATTACAGACAGAGTATATATTTGGAAGTGTAAAGCAAGGGGATTTATCCAGCTTGGTTTTTTCCCAGTTCACCCTCACTTTGAGTTTCTTCCCTGGCTTTTTAGCATGGTCATTTAGCCCCTGCTTTAGCTTGTTGTCATCAGAAACTTAGTGAATCTTCCCCCCGTCATGTGGAATATGCAAAGGGAAATATGGCATAATGTAAAGAATATTGACCTAGGAATTGGAAGATGGTGTGGGTCAAATGTGATAATATGGGTACAAGAACTGTGAATATTATAAAGTGCTGCACAAGCATACTACGTTCAGGTTTGAAGTTAGTCTCTGGCTTCCATTCAAGAAGCAAAACTATCTTTGAGGAGAAGCTGGCATTTTTCTGGTGAGTTACCTGCCCTTTTTCAAAGATATTTTTTGAACTGAGAGAATAGCCTGTACTACTGAAGAACTTCACCAGACATTATGGAGTTTTCCCTGCCTGGCAGGTCGGAGTTCCTGCTCTGCATCCAGAAGGACGTTTTCTATTGGTCTGTTCCGTAATAGGATGCATAGCTGAGTTATACTTGGCAAAATCAAATGCAGACATGAGGGCTGTGTGGTGTCACCTTTTTAGCTTTATCTCTGGGCAGCTCAAAGGACTGAGGCCAGTTGCTCTTGCCTCACACTGTTTGACATAGCCTCCTGATTCTATTATTGGCACAGCATTAACCTCCACAGTAAAACAATCTGCAGACAGCCTTTGGGAATAAAATGAGTTAATTACTTCAGGATCATGAGTACCAAAACTTTCAGGCAGTTTCCAGAAAGAGTTGGTTCATTTTATTTAAGAAAAAAGAGGCTGGGTGTGGTGGCTCATGCCTGTAATCCCAGCACTTTGGGAGGCTAAGGCGGATGGATCACAAAGTCAAGAGATCAAGACCGAGCTATTAGCTGGGTGTGGTGCATGCCTGTAGTCCCAGCTAATTGGGAGGCTGAGGCAAGAGAATCGCTTGAACCTGGGAGGTGGAGGTTGCAGTGGGCCAAGATCGTGCCATTGCAGTCCAGCCTGGCAACAGAGTGAGACTTGGTCTTAAAAAAAAAGTGGGGGTGGGGGAAAGCCTAACCTATTCCCAGAGGGCAGTTTATAAATAGTCTTTGTAAAAATAACAAACATGAAATAGATTTCATGAAACCTCATCATATTAGGATCTAGAAAGTTCCAATGTCTACCACTCCTGAATAGTTGTGTTCCTATGGGTATTATACCTCCTTTCACTCAATTGAATAAATATAGAATCCATTTACTATAGTGAGGGCAAGACTTCTCCTTCAGGATTTAAACCCTAAGTCTAAAAAGGCAATTGGGTAGGTTTTATCTGGATGTAGGAGGACAGACCTAGTGTTTCAGTATGTATTTTCCTCCAATTTCAACCCAGCTTGATTTCAATTAAAAGGTTCCCTGCCATATTTCCATATCTTCCTCTACCTATAGCAAAAGTGAAAGTAATGCTAAAGATTCTTTTAAAGATCTTAGAAAAAGGGATTGGTAAAGGTCACTAAGGAAATTAGCAGCCATTTCTACTAGCTGCAAAAGGGATGTTAACTACGTTGTAAGAAAAGTACATTCAGGAAGAGCTGCTTTGTGAAGCACCAGCATTAAAGACCTGCACACCAGGCATGGCAGCCCCCTCCCTCAGGCATTATAGTCCAGAAGTAGTGAAGTTTGTTGTGCAGTATTTTCAATCGCAGTAGAAAGTGTATGCATTTTATATTTCAGGTTATTGTAGAAAATCACCCCATCTCTCTCTTTGTGATTATCAAAGTTTTTGAAACATATATGCATATTTAATTAGTCATGAACCTCAGACACTTTTGCCTGATAGAAACATTTCTCCAGTTTATTAAGGGGAAAACCTGATTGGCTTTGCATGCACGCTTTCATTTTCCAACTAGTTATTTCCCGAAACGTGTTATTCCATGAAATAAGGTGCCAGAACTTTATCCTTATTTGGTTAAATATTATATCCCATAGAATCAAATGATCAGTCTATTGATACCTCATAGTGTTATATAAAGTGAGAAATCTAACTTATTTTTGTGACGTAACCCAGAAGTTTTTTCCCCTTCGTTCTGTTATCTGTCTCGTCTAGCTTTTCTTTCACTTTATTTTTTCCTCAGTTCTTTAACATTTATTTGTTAAAACATGAAGTTTATTCTGTCTGTATTCATCCGCCATGGATGCTTGTTTAAAATGTTTTTTTCAGCTGTGTCCTCTGTCTTATATCACTCTTCACTTTCACTTTACTGTGTACGGGACATGGTTTCCTACCTACTCATGTGCCATTAAAGATGCAGTATTAACCAATTGGCTTTTTATAAAGTGTCAATATTTGTGTTTATTTTGAAAACCTTAAGGCAGCTTTGCAAATAAGTACTAAAATTGTACTAGCCCATAAAAATCGTTTGCTCTACTCAACTGGCATAGATGGCTAAATGTTTGGTGTGCTCACCAGGTAATTTGCGTATAACTAATAGTTCTCTGTAAAGGGCTTTCTTTTCTTCCACATTATTGAAAATTATTGCAGAATGCTGTTATGCCCAGATTCAGAATTGTTGTATATGCAGCAGTGTGGTGCAAAGTTCTCCATCTGTAGTCCATTTTCCTCTGCCTTAGGGCTGAGAATGATTCACTCACTGTCCTCTCCCTCCTGTTTTTACTGATGTCAGTAAAAACAGATGATTGCTGCTCTTAAATGCAATTGCTGTATATACCTGGAAACCACTGCATCTCTACTGGCCTGTTCCTATGTAATCTTTGCATAATGTTATCCTTCTCTTTCTTCCATTTCCCTATCACCAACCCCTATAGAGTCGGGATATAAGCCCAGAAGAGATAGATTTAAAGAATGAACCTTGGTATAAATTCTTTTCGGAATTGGAGTTTGGGAAACCGGTAAGTTTAATAGCTTCAGTGGTTATACACCTTTTAAACTAATGCTGTGGATGCATTGTTGCTGCTAAAGATCAGATATTTGTAAGGAATTCAGGAAGTGGGGCCAGTCACGTTGGTTGTCTGTAGTGGGATTGTGTCTTCTCGCTACAACCTCTAAGCTTTCTTTTGTATTGCTTCACTGAGAAAGGATAGTGAGCTCTGGAAGTATATCTTGCTGGAATATCCCAGAGAAACACTAATAATCATTGCTTGTCTTAGACCTCCCCCAGTAACAACAAATATTACATTCCTTGTGGATGGCTAAAGACAAGCTGAAAATGCATTATATACTGCGAAGACCAGCATTGTCTCTGCTTTAAATAGTATTTTTAAAAGCACATATGTAAATGAAGTCCCAGAGCAGGCCAGCAAGGACCTCTTTATGCAGATGTGACCCACTAACGCAACCCCATTATGGGTGACTTTTAGGGAATGATTTCTGTGATGTAGGATATTTCCCAAAGTTTGAAATGGGACTAAGGAATTCTAACATATTTAGTATTCAACCTATTCTTCCCCCATGATATCTCTGAGTTGGCTTTCGTACAGATTGCTTTTTGGCACTTAAAGGAGGATTTTCTTCAGCCTTGCACCCAAAGGAATATGAAAATAGAAGGGAGAATTGAGCTCATCCTTCCTCTAGAGATGACTGGAAACTGACTTTAAAACTCTAGTTACTTCAAAATCTTAATTATTACAGCCGCAAAAACAATGTACAGGTGGAGGAGTGAAGCGTATAAAAACATTTTATTAGATGATTATATGAGACTTTAAGCATTGGATCCAGCTTTTGAGTTTCTATGTTCTGGGTTGATAGTTTTATTTGCAGACAAGAGTGAACTTTATAGTTCAGTAAAATGTTTAAGATTTTTTTTATTAAAACAGAGAAATTAAGCTGGTGCTTAGAAATTGCTCTTTAATTTGGCAGTGCTGAGCTTTGAAAGTTCAGGCATCTTCTGAGTTAAGAGCACCAGACTTGCAAACAGCCTGCTTGTTCCTCTCTTCTGGTCCCTCCTAGACACTGTCTCCCGATAGCAGCTGAGCTGTCCTGGATGAACAGCGCCACCTAGTGACCAGTGGAGAGGGACGCATCTGACCCAAAGTCTGCACCCTCCTCCCCTCCCCAAAGCATTGGTGCACACCTCATTTCTTCTCCTTTCTCTCTCTCTCTCTCTCTCTCTCTTTTTTTTTCTCTCCGCTGTTCACCATTCAGATATCAGTTAAGTCTGCCTTAGGCAATCTTTTCCACATGTAGTGTTTAACAGTATCCTAACCCTTTCTCTTTTGTTCTTTTTCTTAAAACCAATTACATCACGAAAAAAAAGCTTTTGCTGTGTGTCGTTGTTTCCTAACCCCCAAACAGACCATGATTGGTGGATAAAGCAACTAATGCCATACTTTAATCAAGGAAAGCAAAAGCTATTCAATTATGTTTAATAGAGTCCATGCCATTGATTTTTGGTGTCTGTTTCAGAATCCACAAATTTCTGGCCATCTCATCTGCTAAATGAACTAAATTAGTTTTACCTTGAATATTAGCTTTCAGGAAAAGTGGTAGAATTTTTATTTCTAATTAGCTGTTATTGTTTTACTGAATCTATCATTACAAATAATTTTTGAGGATAATATACAGTATTTCAATACCAGCATACATGAAATAGTCTCCATGCATAGCTTGATAAATTAATGCTGATTGCTGCCAAAAACTTCAGTCCAGGTACCACACAGATAACTTCAAAGAAATGTTGAGAACACAGTCCAATTGTATATTGGGACCTTCTTATAGCTTGTATCCCTACCCCAGTGCTCTAATAGCCTTTTAATTATTTAAAGACTTAGAGATGCTTTTTCAAAATAGCATTTTCTCTGAAGCCACATGCATTCTTTGCACAGGCCTCAGAGTTCTTCTAATGAGATGGCTCCCTCTTGTGTAGGTCTTACTTTGAAAAATAGTACTGTGAAGACTTGCCAAACTAACAAACTCCATGCCCACATCCTGAGGGACAGCCCTGAAATGAATGGCTCCTTATGGTCGGAGGCATCCTAAAGGTGGGCTTATTATCTAGTTGAACCAACAGGATTTGGGAGGAAGGTGTGGTGAGGAGAAATTTTTTCTTCACTTCCTTCCCCAACTACTCTGCCACGGAAGAATAAGAAACATAAATAAAAGTGGTAAAAACCATGGAAGTTCTTTTGGAAAGTTTTTCAGCCATTCGGAAGCAGAGTCAAATTAAAACTCCTACTAGATCATGGGAATCAGCATTTCTACTTTTGTTTTTTCCTCACACCAAGTGGGGACCACTTTCCCTGAGTAAGACCTGCTGGAACTTTTGACACTAGACATACTACCCTGAACTCCTTGCTTCCTCCACCTCTTTGTTTAAGCCATCCAAAGTGAACTAAAATTTCAGCAAGATGCTGACTAAAACTATAGCTATTTAGCTCTAACAAGTTGTTAGAATAGCAAATAGTTCAAGATTCCAGGGACCATTTTAGAAAGATTATTTAAAACAAGATTAATTTGTAAACACTGTTCTGTTTATTGCAGTAAAGAAATGACCATAAGTCATTAGACTTCAAAAAGTCTACTTCTGCAGGTGAACAGTCCAAGTGTATTAAGTGCTTAAAGATGAATGGTAATTGTTAGTGTCACTTACTTTACGAAATGCAGAATATACGTGTGCGGAGATGACATTACTGACCTGTGAGTGTCAGTGGTGAACACATCTTGGAATCAGATTACTTCTCATTTGCAAGTCAGAATTTCACAATGTAACCCGATTTGAATGCTTCCATAGAGTTGGCTGTAATGAAATTTGCACAAAATTTTAGGAGCTGTTAATGATTTATTTCTTACCACCCTAGAGGTCATTATGTAAGAAAATACAATTCTAAATAGGCAGAACAAGTGGAAGAGAGGATCCAGGGTTAGAAGTCACCTGTAACCTCTGAATGTCCCACCCTCGGGACTCCTTCCTCATTAAGCTTACAATCATCTTTTGGCAAATTTCTGTCTTAGGAATGCAGCTCTAAATCTGACTTAAAGGGTTAAAAGACAAAACAAAAAGAACCTTACATTCCCCTCTTTAAATTTTAAACTCTGTTCTCTGAAGAGGATGAAAAGTATGTCTTTACCACTAATAGTATTATCAAGGTCTAGTTAAACTGTAAAAGGAGATTTTTAAACTTCTGGTATGAAATTGTCTAGTGCACTATTTAACAACCATTTTGTACATGGATTTCGTTGTTACAAACCGTGGAAAGTACATTTGGTTCAGTCCATTGACCACACCTCTAAATTCACACACGTGTTAAGTACACAATAAATTTTACAGCAGAAGACTGCCTCAAAAATGTGGAATCTTGAGTGTCAATCTTAGTTTGAAAAGAACAATGAGGAATTTAAAAGTTTTCTAGTTTTGTTTACGTTTGTGTTAATGCTTCCCGCCCCCGCCCCCCGCCTTGTTTTCTTAAGTTTTCAATATTTAGAATTCAACAATGAGTTGCTTTTGAAACATAGACATAGAAGCAAAATTCCTAGGTAATGGTCCCAGCTCCCAAATCCTCAGGCTTCCCCTCCTGCAGGCAGCCTCGTGTCCATGGGCAGCACCCACTCCCCTGCTTTTGAGTTCACCTTTCTGTGTTGATACAGTTCTCCTAGTGTGCCCCTCCTTGTTTGAGCCAGTCTCCGTGTTTGTCTTTATGTCTTTATGCTCATTTCTTCATTTCCTCCTCTGCTTCCCGTCAGCCTCCCAAAAAGATATGGGATTATACTCCTGGAGACTGCTCTATCCTTCCTAGAGAGGATAGAAAGGTAATTCCGCTGTGCCTCCTCTGTTGGACTGTGTGTGCTCTCTAGCTTTGGTTAGTGTGAGTGTGTTGTGGGTTTGTTTTTTTCTTAAATCACTTTTTAAAAAACTTGATGCTTTTTTTTTTTTTTTTTTTTGGCTTGGTAATAAAACTATGTAACAAATTCTCTAAGACATATACTAATGTTTAGAGGTTTTTAAGGCAATTACATATCCTTCTGACATTGAGTATTTGTCACTGTTACCACACTCTGAAAAAAGAGAAAATAGACATTTCTTTAAAGGTAGGTTTTTGTAGTTCTCCTTAGCAAGTAGAATAGATTTTTGAAGCTCTGATTACTTCAGGATTTCTGCTTTACATTGCCTAATGTTACATTCTCTGTTTTCATGTCTAATTAATTTCTGGTAAGCTCCCGTGTTTTAGTTGTGCTATCTTGGCCTTATGAAAGTGTAACACTAAAAAAAAAAAAAGAAAAAAAAATCATTTTTTTCTAACTTAACCTTCCATTCTTTCTCCCTTTCCTCTAAACTAAAACATTCTTTCCCATCTTTTCTTTCTTGAACCAGACTAATCTAGACAAAGATCTCAACCTCTGCCAGACAGAGTTAGAGGCAGATTTAGAAAAAATGGAGACGCTTAATAAAGCACCCAGTGCAAACGTGCCACAGGTATTTCCTAGTTTTTCTCATGCCATCAGTTCCTTTTCAAGCTGTGCTTTGTTTTCTTTGTTCTGTGGTTTTTTTATGTAGCTGAGGTGACAGATGGTGATGCTGGTTATTTTAGGCTGCATGGCTTTCTGCCTCCTGTTTTGGACCCTTCCCTCACCCCTGCCCAGTTCATTTTTGCTTGGTTTTCTTTTGAGCTTGGCATCTTCCTTAAAGGGGATTCTTCAGTTATATGCAGAGAGGCTGCAGATTGAAACTACTCTCCTACCTTATTCTGTTTCTCTGCTTTCCAGGGGTGACCTTTTAAGTTCCCTTCCTTCGCTTCTGGGCGCCTTCTCTGAATTTTCAGGGAGCCATTTTTGGCAGTTTCCTTGTCTTTTTGGCAGCCCTGGGAGATACCAAGCTCAGAGATGAGTTTCAAAAACTCAGCAGCGTGCTCTGGGTACCCTTTCTGTGCATGGCGCTGTCAGCGTAGTAGTGTTTGTCATTTTAAAGGTCAGAAAGTTCTCAGTGAAAGATGCTCTCAGAGGTCAGACGGCCTGGACACACAAAAAAAGTGTTTGAAACTAAGCCTGCATTGATATTTTAAAGGGAGCTGTGTCAAAATGTGGTTTATTAAAGGGTGTTTGAGAGAAAGTGAGAGAAAGAGAGACACTGTGGTAAGTAGGTTTCCAAGGAGGAAAAAAACAAATGTTCCCAGTGCTGCCTGTAGGGCTCCCTGACAAAACAAAAGAGACTCTTAAAAGAAAAAGATATCTTTAGAGAAGATACAAAAGGAGGCCGGGCGCGGTGGCCCATGCCTGTAATCCCAGCACTTTGGGAGTCTGAGGCAGATGGGTCACTTGATGTCAGGAGTTCGAGACCAGCCTGGCCAGCATAGAGAAACTCTGTCTCTACTAAAAATACAAAAATTAGCCGGGCATGGTGGTGGGCACCTATAATCCCAGCTACTCGGGAGGCTGAGGCAGGAGAATCGCTTGAATTCAGGAGGCAGAGATTGCAGTGAGCTGAGAGCACACCTCTGCACTCCAGCCTGGGTGACAGGGTGAGACTCTGTCTCAAAAAGAAAAAAAAAAAAAAAAGAAGAAGACAGTAAAGGAATATGAAGCTGAGGAAGCTAAGAAGGTCCACAAACTGTGACAGAAACAGAGGAAACTGCTGATGGGAGTCAGATCTCCAGCCCCAGTGATTTGGGCACAAAAGTCATGAGAGCAGCAGAGACTCAAACCAGGAAAGGGGTGAAGAGACTGGGGATTTGGCAGCAGCCAAGGGGTCTGGGATAAGAGAATCAGGAGCCAAGGAGCTACAGGTTGATTGAGGGTGTTGGGAATTGGGAATCCAGAGAGAGCAGAGCATGAGGAAGCCAGCAGGACCGGGGCTTAGGTCCGAGCTCTCTCTCAGTACTCGGAAGGAGCCACAACAGGCACTGCACACACGGGTGAGGCAGACAGGTGATGGGCGGGGCAGGCGGAGTGGGGTTAGGGGTTTAGTTTCCAATTAGGGTGGAGGAACCAGGTTAGCCACTGTGGAATTGAAGTTCTTATGTGAGAAGTGATCACAGCTAGTCCTGGAGTGAGAGTGGTGGCTGTGGCTGTGGTGAGAGCCCATGCTGGGTGGGTGCACCAGCATGCAGTGGGGAGAGCAGGTCCGAGCGAGGTCACTGAGGATGTTGCAGTGGGACTTTTTAATTGACTGGTGTAAACAGCAAAGAATTGGAGGATGAGATTGAGACAAAGACAACCTTGGGGTTTTGGCCAGGCAGCTGGAAGAATGAGGACTTGAGCACATCACAGAGGAAATCTGGGAAGACGATCGGGGCAGAGGCAAGGTGAGGTAGCTGGCTTTAGGTAACTGACCTTTGAGGTGTTGGTTGGGTGTCATATAGGGAATATCCGGTAGGCAGTTGGAAGTCTAAGACTAGGGTTTTTGGAAGAGGCATGGGCTTAAGATGGGGATTGGAGTCACTTGAGTGCAGGCAATGTTTGAAGCCCTGGGAGTAGATGAAGACACCCGGCTGGGGAGTAGATGACAGACTCAAGAGGGAATTGTGTTGAGAGAAAGGATGTGAAACTAACAACTACCTATGGGGATGTTGGGTGACATGGAATAGGAGAAGGGGAGAGGGAGAGAAAGCAGAGTTCACAGAGGGAGAGAGAAAAGCGAGTGATGAAGCAAGAGGATAAAGTGTGAAATCTTCCCAGAGGTCCAGAAAGATGAACTCCCAGGAAGGCCAGTGGATGTGATGACTAAGATGTTTCCGAAGTCTTTGGAGGTTGCTGGGTGAGTAAGTTCATGGCAGAGAATGAGGAGCCTGCAGGGGTACAGCACTGAATGAAAAGATGTGACCATGGAAGGAAGGAAGGAAGGAAGGAAGGAAGGAAGGAAGGAAGGCAGGCAGGCAGGCAGGCAGGCAGGAAGGAGAGTGTTCCCAGAGGACTCTACAGGGTCAAAGGTTTTTCAAGATGGAGACCAGGGCAAGGTCTTCCAAGGTGGAAGGCCACACAGGTCAGTTGTTCAGAGGCTGGAGACCAAGGAAGCAGAGGATGGGCGGGCAGGGAGGCTAAAAAGTGCAGCCAAAAAGGCTGGACGATGGAGTTGGAGGTCAGAGGGTGTGCTCTCTGCGGAATAATGGGGTGGCATGGGGTACAGTCCTCATCCCGGTGCAGAGGTGCCCTCGTAAATGACAGCTCACAAGCCCAACAGGTTTCAGCAGGCAGAGGGCTATGCGGGTGGGATTGCCTCTGCCCTGTCATTTCCTTTTCTCTCTTTGACTATCTCTTCCTTTTCTTTCTCTCCTTTCCTTAACTGTCTCTTCTCCAAATAGCTAGTTTTTCTTAAAATGGTTATTAGAGATGAGGCCATTAGGTAAGGTAGGATTATCCTTAAAATTAACCTTTACATTGATTTATTCAACTACTACCTTATTTTTAAAAACAGGCATATCAAACCCTTTGCGTTTTTCTCTCCAAGACAACAACAGAAACCCTAAACTACAGAATTATGTTGCTTTTTTTCTGCATGTAGCTCTTGGTTGTTTTCTTCCTTTTGCGTGGTGCGTGGTAATTTTATAAAGCATTCCCTTATTTATGCTGAAATGATCATTAATAGGGTTGGTGAAATTGCGTTTCTCCCCATTTCTGCACTCCTAAATTTTCATACACAGTTATGCATAAGCACACACAAATAATCTAAATACACGGTAGCATGTTAAAATACACTTTTGTGCATTCTGGCCCTAAAGTGTTGGGTGACCTTCTCTCTGGATGTGGCATTTGGGGTGCATGATGGGATCTGCAATCGGCTCAGAGGGGGTTCTGAGGGCTGCAGAGAAGCTGGTGGAGGATGTGCCATTCATGTCATTAAAGCATGTTGGCCCACTGGAGGGCCTATCTGCCCGGTGACTTGTGACGGAAGACAAGTATGAGCCAGGTGGCCCTCTCCTGACCCACCCAGAGGGCCTTGGGTGCATACACTGAAAAGCAAAAGACCAGGAGTAGGAGAGCCCACCTGCCCTTACATTCTCCTCCCAGAGAAAGAGCACCGCCCTCCACCAGCATTGAAGACCTTTTCCATCCAGCCCCCCTGACTTCCAGAGGTCCTTATCTAAACTAGGAAGAGAAAGTGACCTCTCTCTTTTTCCTCTTGACTTGAAACATATGAGTCAAAATAAATCATCTATATTATTTTTTTCTTCTTTCTTTTCTTTCTTGGACATTTACAGAGCTCAGCTATCAGCCCCACTCCGGAAATTTCTTCAGAGACTCCTGGATAGTAAGTTGCCATTTTACTTTGTTTATGTTGCTTAATATGTTAAATGTCAGAAATGGAAATAGAGAAGCTTATATTTTGGACCCAAAGTGTGTTTTGTTTGTATCAGCCTAATGGCTCTGAATGATGTATAGTTTGGTGATAAGAAGTGATCTAATTGTATTCTTCAAATTATTTTCCTTCTGTTCTTGCCTCCTCTTCTAAATTAATTTTGTGATGATTTATATTATCTTTTATAAACTTCCCCCATTTTGGCATCTTTACCTTTAGAATGTGAGTTTATTTGTCTAAGTTTAGAATAAAAGTTCTTGCCTGGCATTGTGGCTTATGCCTGTAATCTCAGTACTTTGAGAGGCTAAGGCAGGAGGATCATTTGGGCCCAGGAGTTCAAGACCAGCCTGGGCAACATAGACCCTGTCTCTAAAAAAAAAAAAAAAAAAAAAAATTAGCGAGGCGTGTACCTTTAGTTCCAGCTGCTTGGGAGGCTGAGGCAGGAGGATCTCTTGAGCCCAGAGATTTAAGCTGCAGTGAGCTGAGATTACACCACTGCACTCCAGTCTGGGTGAAAGAACCAGACTCTCTCCCCAAAATAAAAAATAAATAAATTAATTCTCAGCCGGGAGCAGTGCCTCGCCTGTAATCTCAGCACTTAGGGAGGCCGAGGTGGGTGGATCATGAAGTCAATAGCTCAAGACCAGCCTGACCAACATGGTGAAACCTCATCTCTACTAAAAAATAAAAAAAAAAAATAGCTGGGCTTGGTAGCCTGCACCTGTAATCCCAGCTACTTGGCAGGCTGAGGCAGGAGAATCCCTTGAACCCAGGAGGTGGAGGTTGCAGTGAGCTGAGATCGTGCCACTGTACTGCAGTCTGGGTGACAGAGCAAGACTCCGTCTTTTTTTTTTTTTTTGAGACACCCCGCCATACTCCATCTTAAAAAAAAAAAAAGATGGAGGGAGGGATGAAGGGGTTGAGGGGAGGGTGGGGCCGAGAGGGCTAATTTACCCAATGCTCACAGAGACGGGCATCTATTACCCTCCGTCAGTTCTTTGGACTCTGTCTGGATGATGCATGCACACCCTACTCCTTCCTGGGGTAACGACCAGCCTCTTCCCCCTACCAAACCATCCTGAATCCTATAGCAAATTGCCTTTCTCAGCACTTTGCTGTGAAGCTGTTATCCCAGCTGAAAGTGTTCAGTGCTACCCTCACCTCCTGTTCTATATGTGGTAAATAGCAAACATTTAGCTTGTATAGTTAGGCCCTCATGGAGCCTTCCTTTACCCAGGCTCATGTTAGTACCTCAATGGCCCTTACTTCTGTTGCTGTATACCTGAGTTCTACTCTTGTATTTTTATAATCATGAGTGTATTATAAACTCCTCGAGGGCAAGGCCCAAGTCTTCACAGTGCCTGGCACATCCAGTGAGTTTAGGAAAGGAGCTTGTTTTGGTAGGAGCTTTTCTTATTTTATCACAATCACATATGTGTCTTGTTCTTTGAAATAGGACAATGAGGGGAAGACACACCTATTACCTATTCTACTAAGGTTGAGTCAATCCACAATGAGCAGAGATGCTGAGTCTATAAATTTTTTTGACAGATATTGTGGTCCCTGGGACACATCCTCCTTTCATTGCTGGAGAATGTGCTTTACAAGAAGAGTTTCATTTGAAAGTCAGCAGGGATTTGGGTATTTTGGAGGAAAAGTTGAAAAACTTTAATAACTTTAATCTTTTTAAGGTAGTGATCAAAAGCTCTAGATACGTTATGTTAATTTTTTCTATAAATATATGTGTTTCATGATTAATATGCCCAGGAGCATAAGAAGAAATTAAGAAGATATATTAAGACAGCAGCTAGAGGAGGACTGCCTTAGGGGACAGTTCCCACCTCGGAGAGGGACTGCGTGAAGTCTCTTGTGTTCACTGTGGGGTTGGTGATTAAGTCACTAATATGACAGGTGTCAGGACTCAGGTATAGCATCGGGACCCCTGCCCCCCACTCTGGCTTTGCAACTCACTCCCTTTTAAAGAGCTTCCAGTTGAGCTGGGCCTTCAGCTCTAAAAATGACAACAAGTCACCGGTCCTCTGGGTCCTAGAGATGTGCCTTCAGAGGTGAAGCCCACCAGATGACCCTAGGCAACCTGCAGATAAAGGGTGTCATCAAGACCACAGCTCCTAGCAAACTCTCCTTGGTCCCCCAGGCCACCTGTTTATTCTCAGCTTGTCACTTTGGCATCCCCAACTGCCCGTGTGAACCCTGCTGCCTGCTCCCCTCTTTTACCTCCTCACCTCTATCGCCCTAAACTGCACAAGGCAGAAAGGGCTTCATGGGGTAGCTGGCCGAGTGAATTCCCTGGCTCTACTGGATCCAAGGCACTAAGCTCTGTACTTTAATAGGAATGTAGATATAGTCCCTTAATAGTTTGGGGACAAAACACACACACACAAAATAAGTTTAGTAAATGAAAAGGCAAAGTGGCAAATGAATGAAGTAGACTATGATGGTTACAAGTATTCAGGAGAAAAAGCGGCAACCACAGGCAGTCAGGATAAAGAGCACAGGTATTGAATAGCTTCACTTTAACAATTTATCGGCCATTTACTATGTGCCAGGCCCTGTGCTTAGTATTTTATCTACCTTACCTCATTTCACCCTCTGAACATTCCAAAATGGGGCATTTTTTTTTTCCTTTTGAGACAGAGTTTTGCTCTTGTTGCCCAGGCTGGAGTGCAGTGGCTCAATCTTGGCTCACTGTAACCTCTGCCTCCCAGGTTCAAGTGTTCTCCTGCCTCACCCTCCCAAGGAGCTGGGATTACAGGCCTGCCACCACACTCAGCTAATTTTTATATTTTTAGTAGAGACGGGGATTTGCCATATTGGCCAGGCTGGTCTCGAACTCCTGACCTCAGGTGGTCTGCTCCCCTTGGCCTCCCAGAGTGCTGGGATTACAGGTGTCAGCCACCACACCTGTCCAATCAGGCATAATTTTTAATCCCTGTTTTATAGATGAGGAAATAGGCACATCATAAAGCAGTATAATGCCATAGTTCCACAGCAGGTACAGGGCAGAGCCATATCCAGATTAGGAAGAGTGAAGCTCTAGGCCAAGGGACTGGGGTTGGCAGTAAACTCATCTGCACCATACTGATTCAAAATTTGGTAATAAGTTAGCAGAAGACATACCAAGGCTTAATGATTTTGAGCTCTTAAAAAACAATTTTTACCTGGCACGGTGGCTCACACCTGTAATCCCAGCACTTTGGGAGGCTGAGGTGGGTGGATCACTTGAGGCCAGGAGTTCAAGACCAGTCTGGGCAACATGGCAAGACTTCCTCCTTACAAAAAATATTGTAAAAATTAGCTGGGCTTGGTGACACAGGACTGTAGTTCCAGCTATTTGGGAGGCCAAGGTGAAGGATTGCTTGCCCAGGATGCAGAGGTTGGCCGTGAGTCAAGATCGCACCACTGCACTCCAGCCTGGGTGACAGAGAGATACTCTGTCTCAAACACACACATACACACACACACACACACACACACACACACACACACACACCACAGTTTAAGGCAGGCATCCCCAAACTTTTTACACAGGGGGCCAGTTCACTGTCCCTCAGACTGTTGGAGGGCCGCCACATACTGTGCTCCTCTCACTGACCACCAATGAAAGAGGTGCCCCTTCCTAAAGTGCGGCGGAGGGCTGGATAAATGGCCTCGGGGGCCACAGTTTGGGGACGCCTGGTTTAAGGAACTATTTATGATAGTGGGTTAGCAGGATTGGAGGGTACTAATGTAAGCTGATTAAAAGAGCAAATTGTTTTCACTCTGAATGTGCATGAAGATATTCAATCCGTTAATTTACCAAGAGTTCTTATTTATATCACTGAAAATAGGTCTTGGAAGCCTGTTTTTCAGCTCTCATGAAATATTTGGCAGGAATAAATGAGATTTTTCCTCCTGCTATTCTACCATTTGTGGATTCTTCAGTAATTAGGCTTGGTTTTCCCCCAGTTTATCCAAATGAGTAAGATTTTTAATATCAAATTGGTGAGGAACCAGCCTAAGTGGGGTGCCTGACCCAAAATGTTTGCTCAATGAATGGATGCATCGGTAGATCTTACTTAACTGAAATCCAACTTGGTTAGCACCGAGGCAGGCAACTGGTGAATTGAATCTGGCCCCTTTCACTGGTTGGCCAGGAATGATGTGTAGGCAGAAACACTGGCATGACTTGACCTTAACCCAGAGAATGAAGAGGAGTCACAGGTGGCCCAGGTTCACAATTTTGTGGGCAACTGGAGAAGTGATGGCATTGTTTTAAGCCGACTTCAATATCTTGGACAGACTTCAGTTGAGAATTTTATTAATTAACACTGGTTACATATGATATAGTAAAAGAACTGGGAACAGAGAGGAAGGAATTCACCTATAATCCCAATATCCTAATACAACTACAAGTCCTTGCCTTTCTCTCTCTCTCTCTCTCTCTCTCTCTCTCTCTCTCTCCATATATATATATATATACACACACACATATATATAGTGTGTGTGTATGTGTGTATGTATATATATATTTATAGTTACCATCAGAGTGTGTGTCCAGTTTTATACTTTATTTTCCTAGCATTTCAGATCTATGAATCAGTAGAGGGAACTAATTATTTTTATTTCAGTGTTGCCTAACCAAAGAGCTTTACTCTATTTGACCAGCAGGTGGCACTCGAGAACAAGTTGTTCTTCCCTGTATGGGGATGGTAGACTTGGGAACACCTTTTCCTTTTAATCTGATTTGGAAACAAAACACAGATCATAACCTGAAGAACCATATGAAACAGTAAAGATTCGCCTGGACCTTACAAATGTGTCAGAAATCTGTATGCATGTAGGCATTTAATTTTTGTAGAATCTTTTATTCCACTAATATTTATTGACCAACCAACCATCCAAGGCATCAGACATGCAAAAATTAAGAAGATAAACTTCCTGGCCTCAAGGGGTTCCAGGTGTAATAGGGGAGACAGATTTTTAAATAACCAGAATCCAGTGGGGTGCATGCAATGATGGGGCCCAGGAGGGAGGAGTGAGCACCTATTGTTTTGTGGAGGAAGAAAGGTTAAGTTTTATAGAGGAGCTGCAAATAAAATGTGAATAACAATAACATTATAAATATATTTTTTTCATGCAGTACAAAAGGCTATGAAATGAAACATTTAGAGGATTATCTAGACTCCCTCCTGCAAAGCTACAGTTAACAAGTTAGGTTTTTTTCTTCTTCTTGAAATAACCAAATGATTTTGAATGGTGAATGTAAGCTTCTTGAAGCTGGAACTTTTTGTCTGTTCTGTTGCCTGTTGATCTCCACGTAGGAGAGTGACACTTATTAGATGCTCAGTAAATATTTGTTGATTTAATAAATGAGCAGTAGAATGACATGATACCTTTTCTAGACAGAGATGACTGGAGGGCATCAGAGCTGGAGACTGGGGGAGCAATGTGTGTTTGTGGCACAGTTGTGGGTAAATGATGATAAGGCGGGAGGTGGACAGTGAAGGGATTAATGTGAGCTGTGTCAAGGACAGGGAAAAAGCAGGGCTTGGTGACTGATTAGGCTTGAGGAGCAAGGACAGCGGGAAGGAGACCGATTTCCTAAGCTTTCTGGGTCGGGTGTTGGGAGATGGTTTGGAACATGTTGAGTTTAAGACGCCCAAGGAACATCCAGGTGGATGTCTAGAACGTGGTTGAATTTATGTGTCTGGAGCTCAAAAGAAAGTTCTGTGTACATAACAGATTTTCAGTGGATTTCTTGTACAATCTCCCCATGCCTATTAGTTTTGCAAATGAAAGAAATTGAGACCAAGAGAAACAGACTGTTTGCAAGTTTTTAAACGAGAGTGGGTTTGCCTCCACTGATCCACATTCCTTGCTGGAGTCCCAGGACTCTGTCCACAGCCTCCAGAGCCTGCCCATTAGCACAACTGGCCCATCACTTGTCCAGTGCTAATGGGCCACAGTTGGCCCTAGGATGATTCCTCTGTTATCTCACTTTATTCTTCCAGTGAATGTGTTTTTGTTGAATCCCCCCGAAATTCAGCAGCCAGCTTTGCATCTCAGCCAGAGGTTGAATCCTCTGTGCTAGCTCTTCCTGGCTTGCTCTTCCTGAACCAAAGTCTGGCTTAATCAAGGCTGCTCAGAGCTGAGCTTCTGAACTTAACTTCTTTTGTTAAGTACTCAGCTGCTTTTCCTGATTGGGCCTTTCTCAACCAGCTGAGGGGATAAGGCTCCTTCTCTTACCATCTCTGATATGCTTGGACAGAGCAAGTACTCTGTGACCTTGGGCAAATGGCTTTGACATTCTGGTCCTCAGTTTCCCTTTTTGTACAGTGAAACAGACGGTCTCTCTTCAGCATTAGAACAGCTGATGGATATGATACACTTAAAAACATTGTTGTGGCTGAGCGCAGTGGCTCACACCTGTAATGCCAGCACTTGGGAGGCCAAGGCAGGCAGATTACAAGGTCAGGAGTTCAAGACCATCCTGGCCAACGTACTGAAACCCTATCTCTACCAAAAATACAAAAAATAATAATAATAAAGTTAAATTAAAAAGCTAGGCATGGTGGCAGTCGCCTGTAGTCTCAGCTATTTGGGAGGCGGAGGCAGAAGAATTACTTGAACCAAGGAGGCGGAGGTTGCAGTGAGCTGAGATTGTGACATTTCACTCCAGCCTGGGTGACACAGCATTGCTGTAGTGCTCTTAGGTATTGTTTTTAAACAAGGAGTGCCTCGGTTTCAAAATGTTACACATCTGGAAAAAGCATGTTTTCTTAGCTTTGGTATCAGAGAAAAAAACAATTGGCTGTGGCAAATCCATTCTGAGGGGTTTCCTGAGTGCTGCTTTATCATTCTGGTAGGAAGCTGGAAAAAATGGTGATAATGGGTGGAATAAAGCCAGAGAGTGAGGTGGCTGAGGTGTGGGGGTGGGATGAGATCTGACTGTTGGTGAGGTAGAGCAGAGGTGTGAGGTCAGGCAGCCAGTTATGGCTGAGAGGCATGATGGAACAAGCTTCCCTCAGGTTCTTCCATCTCCTCTAAGTAAAGAGGAAAAGCATTTGATCCCCATACCCAGGCCAGAGTGAATGAAGGAGGACCCTGGGGGAGCTCTGACTCCCACCCCCGCAGTCACCTGAAATAGGGTACATAAAGCCCTTAGCCCCAAGTGGCACAAGGTGAGGCTCAGTAAGTGGCAGCTCCTGTGAGGGGATTACAAGTGACAGAAGCAATAGTATTGCCCAGGGGACTTTATTATTCTAAGGTGGAAATGTCATGGTGTTCTGCCAGAGTCCCCACCTCTTTTCTGTTTCTGACTCCTGGGTTCTGGTGCCACTTGTCTTAGGGGTGTATTCATGGTGAGTAATGCTCAGCAGTGGTGGCATATAGAGAGCTGGAGCATCTCTGAGTTCCCTCTGGTTCCTGTGGTGTGCAAGCCACTGCCTTCTCAGTTGCAGGGAAGTGTTCTATCTATTAATAAAACAGCAGCTGAAGGTTGGGTGCATTGCCTCATGCCTGTAACCCTAGCACTGTTGGAGGGCAAGGTGGGAAGATCACTTGAGGCCAGGAGTTGAAGACCAGCCTGGGCAACATAGCAAGCCCCCATCTGTACAAAAATAATAATAGTAATAATAAAATAAATAGTAAACTAAAACAGGAGCTGAGAGAGAATACTAGAATACTATCTGTGTAGTGCTCGACGGCCTGGTTCAAGTTCCAAATCTCTCAGTGCCTTGTTTCCTCATCTGAAAAATAGCAGAAGTAGGATGGTTAGGATTGAAGCGAGAATGATCAATAGGCACAGTGCCTACCACATAGGACGCCTCACCAAGAGGTGTGTGGAGTTGTTTTTGCTGTCATTCTTGGTAACCATGGGGGCTCAGAGGCTGGAAAGGCCAGCTTCCCAGAATGTAAAAGCATTGCATTATTGATCATTGCTGGATGAGTAGAGGGAAATACAGCTGGACAGATGTGTGATCAAGCAGTCGTAGTTCATGGCCCCCGTAGAAGCTAGGTGGGGACAATATGGGTGTTCACTTTGTAATTCTTTAAGCTGTTCTATTGTATTAGATGATATTCACAATGAAACAGAGGGATGAAGGAATTCCACCTAGTAATGGGTCTTCAGAGCTGAAAAATCTATTTTGATACCAGTAAACTGAGTTCGGTAGGAATAAAAGCAGCCCGGCAGAAGACTATGTGCTTCTGCAGGACAGGAGTCATTCACTTAACTGAGGGGTGTGTGTGTGCACACGCATGTCTGTGCATGTACGTGTCTGTGTGCCTGTGTGTATGTGTGTCAATGACAGTATGTGAGTGGCAGGCATAGAAAAGTGGGATTAGGAGAAGGGAGGGACTCAGTGAGTAAGTACTCTTAATTTTTTTTTCTGTGCCTCACCTCATTCCAAAAGGAATCTGTGGTAACTTGTAGAAATACCTAGATTTTAATGAGATAAAAAAATAAATGGAGGCCTATGAATGAGCAATTGTTTATACTCATACTATATGTTATAATGTTCTGAACACAAGCTTTGAAAGAAGCAAGTGGGCAAATCTGGATGTGATACTAAGAGCCCATAGAATCCCAGGTTCCAATTTCCCTTGGTCACTGATTTTCCTGGAGACCCAAGACAGTTGGGCCTCTCCCTTTCATTGCTGATTTTAATATTCCAAAGTGCTTATGAAGAATAACCCAGAAAAATAATCCAGGTAGTGAACTTGAAGTAGCCGATACTGGCTGGCTACATGACAGAGGCACCACCCATGTCCTTGACTGCACCATCGTGCGTGTAGCCACTGGGTCCTCCGGCCCTCCTGCTGTGTGTAGTTCTCCTTCCGTCTCCCCCATCCTTCCTCCAACCCTTCTTCCCCAGGCAGCGTTCGATAGAATTTTTCTTTTAAAGCCCAAATGCAGCCATCTCAATTAGAGAACTTTGCTGTTTGAGCAAGATTCCTGAGCATTCAGGGCTCCATGGGCCTGTCTGTAGAAATGTGTTTTTAAATAAGAGCACTCTTTAGAAAGGACAGTGCTTGATCAGGATGCCAGGAGGTATATTTCTTGTCCTCAGCAGGTAATGTGCTGTTTGAAAAATGTCAAAAGCGCTAACTCCTGTTCTTATCTTCATTTTTTCCCTTTTCTCTTTTTCTTTCAAAACTACCTGTTCATAGCATATATTCTTCCAACTTCCATGCAGTGAAGAGGGAATCAGACGGGGCTCCTGGGGATCTCACTAGCTTGGAGAATGAGAGACAAATTTACAAAAGTGTCTTGGAAGGTGGCGACATCCCTCTTCAGGGCCTGAGTGGGCTCAAGCGACCATCCAGCTCAGCTTCCACAAAAGGTAATAAACTGGGTGAAGCCTGCAGGCCTCCGTCTCCCATCCACCTCCATCCACTGAGCGTCAGCCATGGTGAACCTCCAGGAATGGGGATGAGTCCCGCCTCGTTCAGACCCACATCCAGGCCTTGGAGCCCTCGTAAATTCCCTTCCCTATTTTCTTACCGGCCATTTTTCTTTCTGGTTTTAATAGTTTCCCTTTCTTTGACCCCCCCTACCCCCCCCCCACCCCCGCCACCTTGCTCTCCTTGAAGATTTCTCTCTCTCATCCTAATTACCTTTTCTTAGAAATTAGCTGAGCTTTAGCCATTCCTAACTCTAGCAGAGTAGCCATTTTTTTTGTTGTTGCATCCTTGCACCTGCTTTGCAGCACAGATTATTTTGCTTCCAGACATCGACTGGGAATTTTTTAAAAGCCCTTATGACCAATGAGCATGTTACCTCTCCTTTTTCTTTTTAGCAGCTTTCAGCTTTAACCTAATGGGTCTATTTATTTTATTCTGCATGCTTACCAGTGGATCGTAAAGGTGGGAATGCTCACATGATTTCTTCATCTTCAGTCCATAGCCGAACGTTTAACACTAGCAATGCGTTAGGCCCTGTGTGTAAGCAAAAGAAGCCCCTGTCAGCTGCCAAAGCCTGCATTTCGGAAATCCTTCCTTCCAAATTCAAACCCAGGCTCTCTGCTCCCAGCGCTCTTTTGCAGGAACAGAAGAGTATCCTCTTGCCCTCAGAGAAGGCTCAAAGCTGTGAGAACCTTTGTGTTTCCGGTTCTTTGAATGATTCCAAAAGAGACCTCCCCCTCCAAGTGGGAGGGAGCATCGAGAACCTGCTCATGCGCTCCCGACGGGATTATGACAGCAAGTCGAGCAGCACCATGAGCCTCCAGGAGTACGGCACCAGCGGCAGGAGGCCCTGCCCTCTCTCAAGAAAGGCTGGGATGCAGTTCACCATGCTCTACCGGGACATGCACCAGATCAACCGAGCTGGCCTCTTCCTGGGCTCTATCTCCTCCTCCTCGAGTGTGCGGGATCTCGCCTCCCACTTTGAAAAAAGTGGCCTGGCATTGTCCAGGGGTGAGCTGGGCCCCAGCCAGGAGGGCTCAGAACACATCCCCAAGCACACCGTCTCTTCCCGCATCACGGCTTTTGAGCAGTTGATTCAGCGGTCCCGTTCCATGCCGTCCCTGGACCTGTCCGGCAGGCTGAGCAAGTCTCCGACACCCGTGCTGTCCCGGGGAAGCCTGACTTCAGCCCGCTCGGCCGAGTCCCTCCTTGAGTCAACCAAGCTTCGTCCCAAGGAGATGGATGGGATGAACTCCAGTGGGGTCTATGCCTCCCCAACGTGTAGCAATATGGCGCACCATGCCTTGGGCTTCAAGGGCCTTGTGCCTTCTGAGCCCCTCTCCACCTGCTCCGATGACCTGGACCGCTGTTCAAATATCTCCACTGACAGCAGAGAAGGCAGTGGCGGCAGCGTTCATGGAGATTTCCCCAAACATCGCGTCAATAAGTGCAAGGGCACCTGCCCGGCCTCATACACCCGCTTCACCACCATCCGGAAGCATGAGCAGCAGCAGACCTCTAGACAGCCCGAGTGGCGCCTGGATTCCAGAGGGGACAAGAGCACCCTCCTCAGGAACATCTACCTAATGAGCCCCCTTCCTTTCCGGCTGAAAAAGCCCCTCCAGCACCACCCCAGACAACCTTCCCCTGGTGACTCCTCAGGCCTGCTGGTGGGCCAGAAGCCAGACCTACCCAGTCAGCCCCATCAGGACCAGCCCCCTTCTGGGGGGAAGCCCGTGGTTCCCACACGCCTGTCTTCCCGACACACCATGGCCAGGCTTAGCCGCAGCTCAGAACCCTCTCAGGAGAGACCCGCAGCCCTGGAGGACTACCCGAGGGCCATTAATAATGGAAACTCCGTGCCATACTCAGACCACAGGCTGGACAGGAACAACAACCCTCAAAGTGAACTGGCACCGTCCCGCGGAGGTGGCATTTTGTGTGTTTGCCTAGTCTCACCTCCCCGTCCTCCACTTTGCTTGCATTCCCCTTCCTCCTCTGTGCCCTTGGTGCTCATTTTCTGGTCTGTCTTTTGTTTTCTGTTTGTTTTGCTTGGCAATTAATCATGGCTCGTAGTGGCTGCACTTCTTTAAAAACAAAACCCCCATGTCATTTAGACTAACCACCAAACTGTGTTTCGAAAGAAAAATTGGCCGTTTAGCTCAACTGAGAAATGTGTTCATTTGAACTCTTGAACCCCTTGCTGTTTGCACCAGTTCCCAGCGTACCCCATGGTTTTTTGAGAGGCAGCCTCTCTCAGTGGCCCTATGTGTGTGTGTGTGACTTGTCCCTATAAGGTCCTGCACGCCTCTTTGTAGGGACACTTTACAAAGAAAGTCCTCTCATTTAGCTCACCTTTTGCCTTCTGAGTAGTTCTCTTTGCATTAAACTAGTTCACAAATAAATCCAAAAAGTGGGGCAGGGGGTGGAATTTGTTTTTTTTTTTTTTCCGTCAGAATTTGACCATTGATCGTTAATCAACAATGTCTATTAAAATTTTGATATTTATGATAGATGAAAGGTGAACTCTCTTCCCAAGTTGGTTTCCAGCTAAATCTTTGCCTCTTTTAACTCTACTTTGTTGTTTTAAAGATTCAGAATCGCCAAGACATTTTATACCAGCTGATTACTTGGAATCCACAGAAGAATTTATTCGAAGACGTCATGATGATAAGGAGGTAAATCCCATCTTTCAAATCTCTTAGGTTTTGCTTGGAAAAAATGTATGAATAAAATAAAGATTCTAGACAGAAGGTGTCAGAGAGGTGACATGGTCTAGCAATTGGAAGTAAAAATTGAGGCTTTCACAAGTGATTTTTTTAATATGACCTAGGCTCAGTCACTCCTCTTTTAGTCGACTTTTCCAGAAAGTAGAACTGATTTCCCCACAGGCACTAGGTTATAAATGCCAGTTCCAGCCAGCACTGCTGCATGGGAGATACAGAAAGAGGTTGTCCACTGCTACACTTAATGCCTTGTAAGCTAGAAACCAGAGTTTGCTCTTTCATCCCCCTCAGCCCCACCCTTGGTAGTCTCCAAGGAAATCCACCCACATTATTTCTCCAATACTGCCCATCCCTCTGTTGGCACAAAGCTTTGTTCAAATTGAGAAGGATGTAATAGGAGAAAGAGGAAAACGAAAAATATCAATGACCTTGATACCTTTTATAAAATAATTTAAGGAAGTTGCCTATAACTCTGTTGCCTTCAACTCAGAAGAAGGCAGATACCAAACCCCAGCCAAGAACTTCAAAATGTGGATATTTTCTTGTAACTACTGAAATGCCTGTCCTGACATGGGGTGACTGGCAGGGCCTGGGAAAGAGTCCCTTTTCTTGGGGATTTGGGAAGAGGTAGTTCTTTGCATCAGCCAAATGGGAAAAATCACAAGCTTTTGCTGGAATAAATCGTTGTGATGATGTATGCTTTCTGGGCTTCACATCCCCAAGAAAAAGAGTCCTATAGATTAAACAAGTTCCCATGCCCATATTTCTGAAATGAATTAAGAGATGGAAAACTCACCTTGACCTGGTAGCAGTAGGGGAATGTGTGCATGTGTGCACCATTCGGTCCCATTCATATTCAAGTCTGAAGCCCTTTTTCTCTGTGCTTTTGTCTTGTTGAGTAGTTCCAGAGTTTAGGTGGGGTTTCCTGAAGGATTTAGGCTAAGGCTGACTTGGGGACAAGTGGGATGATGATAATTATTGCTTCTAGATGGTGAAACAAAAGACAAAAATGAAACCATCATGGCCAGGCGTGGTGGCTCATGCCTGTAATGCCAGCACTTTGGGAGGCCGAGGTGGGCAGATTATGAGGTCAGGAGTTTGAGACCAGCCTGGCCAACATAGTGGAACCCCATTTCTACTAAAAATACAAAAAATTAGTCGGGTGGGGTGGCAGGTGCCTGTAAGCCTAGCTACTCAGCAGGCTGAGGCAGAAGAATCACATGAACCCAGGAGGTGGAGGTTGCAGTGAGCCAAGGCCACGCCACTGTACTCCAACCCCAGGCAACAGTGCAAGACTCCATCTCAAAAAAAAAAAAAGAAAGAAAGAAAGAAAGAAAGAAACCACCATACCTTTCCCATCTCTGGGTATAATTGAACAGTATTCAGTAAGAAACTTGCACCTGTCCCTGAAAAGAAACAAGAGGAAGCATTTGATGTACAGTTGTTATTTGTAGTAACTTAACTCATGATGAGTGTCCATCAGGCCACAGAGCAGATTCATTTCTATAGCTCTTTGTTAACTATTTCCTGCCACAAGATACAAGATTCTCAAGGCCTGGGCTGCTATGATGAAGGAAGATGTAATTCCATTTTAGTAATTTAAGCCCTAGTCTCTGACCTAGGAGGTTTTATTGGACAATCCTTGCCTATCACATGGGTGGTGTAGTTTATCTAGTGTTTAGCAGTTGATATGTTAGAAGTTACATAAGAAGGTGAGCTGTTGTCTCCTGAATAACATTGGCTCATAGATCCTTAAAAGTTTTATGTCTTTATCCATGATTTTTGACTTACATGGTTAAACTACAGGGTCGAGGGACTTACTAAGGTCAGATTCAATTACTAGATTGGGAGCTTTGCCCCATTCGATGTCTACTTCCATTGATTATGTTGAACTCCAGCCAGAACACAAAGGATTGAGTAAGAACTGTGGCAGTCTCAAGCATCACTCCATTCCCATGGCTACAGAAACAGCTCACACTTCCCAGCTCATGGTGTGTCAGTCAGGCCCTTCCCATTACAAATGCTTTATCACTAACATGGATAATAACAGAATTTCAGAACATGAGAACATGTCAGTCTTGGCAGGGACATTAGTGGTCGTGTAGCCAAGCCCTTGTTTAGTCCAGGCAAGGACCACAACAAGGTGGTAGCTTGCCCAGGGCTGCATAGTAAGTTAACCTATACCCATAGCAGAGCTAGAAACTAGGGCTCCAGATGCCTGGCCAGTACTCTTTCTTTGGCACTGGGCTTTGCGAAGGACTTTCTCATGTCTTTTCTCATTTAATCTTTACAATTTACTTTTGAGTACTGGAACTCCCACAGCCACTTGATGAGTTGTCGCTTTGTTATTTGTAGACCCTGGAGAAAAATTGGGCCCATCATCCTTTGGGGCTGCATGTCATGAGGCATGTAATTGCCTGCTGGAATTATCCAGTGCTAAGAATGATCAGTTCTCATTCATGCTTTCCTACAAGGAAAGTTAATCCCAGGAAAGTAAGATTGCTATGTATCGGAAAACATATTAAAATTCTGTTCCATGGGGTCATTTTAATAGGCATTCAGAATATTTGGTAAAAAGCAACATTGTTTGATTTTTCAAAGAAGCCTTTAAAAATAGAAATAGATTGCTTTTTCCTTACTCTAGGAGAGAATATTTCTTCTAACCCCAGGTACCATTATTCTTAGGGTTTTTTAATCTTTATATTCTCTGTCATTCCCTTTAACTCAGCTTTATTTCAAATCATTCAGTAAGAAAGCAACTGATGCTCTCTGTCAGCCACATAATTAGCCTTTGGTGCATATCCTAAGGCCTTCTAAAAATTGTGCCTAGAGGAAGAGCTGGCTGGCCTAGAAGGAGCATCGTCTTCCAAAATGAGCTACTCCACTCTGTCAGGAGCATATTAAAGTAGTAGATGCAGGAAGCGCAAAAATGACCTGGTGCCATAGACTTCACTAGCAAAAGCCTATAGCAGGTTTAATAGGCCTGAGATGGGCAGGAGGAATTGGCCAGCCTTGGTCCTGCCAGGGGGAATATGCTGTGGGAATATATCCCTGCCTAAACAGGGTAGAGATGGTACTTCCAGCCTCCTGCTGTCAGCCCAGCATGCTTGGGAATGCCCTGGATGTGCCCCTGGGCTCACCTGGCCTTTGCTCCCAGGAGCAGGTGGCTTTGGGCTGAGCTGGGGTTAGGTGGTTTGCTGGAGAGTGTAATCATGTGGAATCATCCTTCCCCTATTCCAACTTTCCCAGTGAAGAGCTGCCTCCTTTCTGCAGTGCATGGAGGGTGGTTACGACTGGAGCGTAGTAGTTGTGGCTTTGAAGCCCCTCTGACAGCTGACCCTTAATGCCTCTGCCCTGTTCACCCAGCACCTTCTTCCCTAATGACTTTTGTTGGTAGTTTTCTGATATGCTGGACCGGACGATTCACTGCCTATTTTATGCAATTTTATGGCAGAAACTTTTAGCGGACCAGAGACGACTTAAGCGCGAGCAAGAAGAGGCTGATATTGCAGCTCGACGCCACACGGGCGTCATTCCGACGCACCATCAGTTTATCACTAATGAGCGCTTTGGGGACCTCCTCAATATAGACGATACCGCAAAAAGGAAATCTGGGTCAGAGGTCTGTTTTGGTCACCTCAATCTGCTGCTTGACCCAAAGCAATATTTGCCTATTTGCCTCCCCTCAGCATTGCCCTCTGTAGGCCAATGTAGTTCCCCAAACAGCATCTGTCATCCTGGCTTCCCTTAGGCTTGCTTTGGCTTCTTGTGGCTGGTAAATAGACATGACCCCATTATGTCCTGTGCTCTGTATGTTCAAGCATGCCTGGCTGGGGGACTGGGGTCTGCTGGCACACACCCCTACTGCATGCCTTAGAGCATCGGCTGCCTTCATGAGTCCAGCCCTCCATATCCTGCATTTTATCATGCTACTGTGTTGCCTGTGCGTTCTGTTTAGAACCCTCATACCTGAGTCCATATGCATTGGTAGCTGTGATGTGGACAACTACACAATTCTTCTTTGAAGAGATGGTTAAATGAAACTTTACAAAAGTTAGCTTAACAATACTTTATGCCATTTACAAAGGTCTCCAAATTTTGTGACATTCATATTGAACTAGAGAACAATACTGCTGCTCACATGTAGGTGGATGAATTGTGTGTTCAGTATGCTGCAGTACTGTGCCTCACTGAAGAATTTTGAAGCCCAAAGACTTTCTCAGTTAGGAAAAACCCACAGAGGGTAAGAGAGTTCTCCAAGGGACATTTCATTCGTTCTTTTAGTTTTGACATTTCCCAGCCTAGATTATGAAAGCTTAATATTATAAAGGAAAAAGAAGAACAAACTTTGAAGTGATTTTTATCCAGGTCTTGGCCTCCTACACAAAGGTCGATGTGTCAGAATTCTCATGCTAGCCAAATGCTGCATTTTGTGTAAGAGTTTATGCTTTGCCATGTAACCCTTAAGTAACCCCACTGAAGATGATCTCTTTTAGGAAAAACGTGTGTATCTGGGATTTAGGGTGGGAGGTAGGGGAATGGGGGAGTAACACCCAAAGTATGTACTGTTTTACAACCTTTCAATACAGCAGATTAATATTTATGTTTCTATCTTTTGAGTAACAGGAGCACCATTGGCTATTTATCTTTTTTTTTTTTTTTTTTTTTTTTTTTTTAAGAAATACAACTGGGCATAGTGGCTCACACCTGTAATCCCAGTGCTTTAGGAAGTCAAGGTGGGAGATTTGCTTGAGACCAGCTTGGGCAACATAGTAAGACCCCTATCTCTAATTAATTAATTAGATAGATTGGTAGATAGCCCTACATGATGGCACACACCTGTAGTCCCAACTACTTGGGAGGCTGAGGCAGGAGGGTCGCTGGAGCCTGGGAGGTCAAAGCTGCAGAGTCATGATCATGCCACTACACTCCAGCCTGAGCAGGGGTAAGACCCTGTCTCAAAAGAAACAGGAGGTGTCTGGGAAGAAGAGATAGTGAAAAGAAGGAACCAAATTAAAAGAAAGCTGGCTAGGTTTAGTGGCTCAAGTCTATAATCCCAGCATACTGAGAGGCCGAGCCAGGAGCATCTTTCATGGCCAGGAGTTTGAAACTAGCCTATGCACCATAGGAAGACCTCATCTTTACAAAAGAAAAAAAAAAATGAAAAACTGAAAAATTAGCCAGGCTTAGTGGCACACACCTATAGTCGTAGCTACTTGGGAGGCTGAGGTGGGAGGATCACTTCACCTCAAAGTTCAAGGCTGAATTATGAACACACCACTCCAGCTGGGTGGCAGAGTGAGACCCTGTCTCAAATTTAAAGAAACTTGAACCTATCTCAAATTTAAAAGAAAAAAGAAAGCTGAGTGGAGAAGGAGACTCTAAAGTGATGGAGAAAAAGAAAATCTACCAAGAAAGAAGCAAAAGTTAGCAACTGTTAATTGCAAGGAAAAGATAGCCCTTGAGCCCTCCACATTCCAGCTCCTCCTCAAAACAGCCCTTCTCAGAAGGCTCTGGGCATGGTTTGTCCTCACCCACAGTGCTACCTGCTTGTAAGTAGAAGAAGATGGGAACAGGTAAAGGCACTAGGGCTCCACACTTACACATGTAAATGATATATGGAAACAAATATACCATGGGTGGAATAACCATGGACAGAGGCAGGCAAACTCTGCCCAGTGAGCCTACTTCCCTTGTAGAGCAACGTTTCTTAAACTCTGACCAAAGTGGTTAGCATCCCCTGGAAGCCTTGGTAAAATACAGACCCTGGGTCCTATCTACAAAGTTTCTGATTCTGCAGTGGGGCCTGAAACTTTGCATTTGTAACAGTTTCCCAGATGATATTGATGATACCAGTTTAGGGAACACATTGTGAGAATTACTACCCTAGAAGTTGACTGATGGACTTGAAAAAGTAGAAACCAGCACATCCCAGGTGCACCCCACTGTGTCAGTGCACTTCAGTCCTGTTGAATAGGACGTGGGTGACCACTAGTTCTGTGTAAGAGCCTATGGGAGGCAGAAAGAACTCAGTCTGTATGCCCTTGGGGAGCTGATAGTGGAAGAGGGAGACTGTTTTCATCACAACATGCTGCTTTCTCATACCCGAATCCATATGCTTTTCGTAGCACTTACTGCAGTTACTAAAGTACAGTCGTCTCTCCCCTGTCATAGGTAACATGATACTGAGAAAGCCAGAGGAGGGAAAAATGGATTCAGTCTTGGGGAGCTATAGGGAGATAAACAGAGAGAGGGTGCTACTTTGTATAACCACCAGTGACTCTCATATATGTCTCAAGAGTTCAATGGAATCGGTGAACTTCAACGAACCTTTAATGAAAAAAAAAGTCTAACCACCACCCCTTATTAACCTAAGTCTATTTACAAATTAATCATAAATTATACACCTATATAATTATATTAATTTAATTGACATGAGCTATTGTTTTGACAGAACTCAGTTACCAAAGTGTGAATATGGTGCTGCTTTAGTATAAGTTTTTTAAAGTTCACACAGCTCTACAGCTGGGTGACAGGAGGTAACCTAATTCCTTGTATTTTTCTGTTGGAATCACTGTGAAATTCTTATCTTTATAATTTTGGTCATTTGGTTTTCTCTTGTGAATTTGTCATTTATCATTAACTCCACATCCATTCTTTTCTTGTTCACCTGTAACTGTGAATTATGCTCTTTGGTTCCAGACACAAACACAGGTATTGAAATTGTATGGCTTTAGCTTGATTATAAGGTGATCATTCACTTGGCCCCAATATGTATGGTATAGATAGGCAGATAGATGAAAACATCATTGTGAAAATGCAGACTTTAAAAATACCTGTGGAAGGCTAGGCATGGTGGCTTATGGCTGTAATCCCAACACTTTAGGAGACCAAGACAGGAGGACTGCTTGAACCCAGGAACCTGAGACCAGCCTGGGCAACATAGTGGGACCCTGTCTGTACAAAAATTATCCAGGTGTGGTGGTGTGTGGCTGTAATCCTAGCTACTCAGGGGACTGAGGTGGGAGGATTACCTGAGCCTAGGAAGTCAAGACTGCAGTGAGCCATGATTGTACCACTGCCCTCCAGCCTGGATAACAGGGCAAGACCCTGTCTCAAAAAAAAAAAAAAAAAAAATTCAGAAGCTGGCCATGGTGGCTCACACCTGTAATCCCAGGACTGTGGGAGGCTAAGGCGGGTGGATCACTTGAGGCCAGGAGTTAGAGACCAGCCTGGCCAACATGGTGAAACCCTGTCTCTACCAAGAAATAAAAAAATTAGAGAGGGGTGGTGGCGTATACCTGTATTCCCAGCTACTTAGGAGGCTGAGGCAGGAGAAGCACTTGAACCTGGGAGGCGGAGGTTGCAATGAGCCATCATGCCACTGTACCCCAGCCTGGCGACAGAGCGAGACCCTGTCTCAAAAAAAAAAAAGAAATTCCAGAGAGAGGAGAGGTAGGAGGGGGTTCAGCTGAGGTATAACAAATAGATTTGACTGGAACAGGAACAGTGTAGTAGAGATAGAGGCAATTTGGTAGGAGTAGGGAGAAACCACCCAAAGGCCTTCACCTGTGGCAGGAGTTGAGATTTGAACTGAGAGAAAGCTGAGAGCAGCAGCCAACTTCAAAGCAAGGAAGAGATGCGAGGAAGAATGTTAGGAATGTTACTTGTGCTCCTGGGTGATAGATTAGAGTGAAGAGAATGTGAAATCTAAGGAAGCTTTGTGCCACTGGGAACTAGACGTCAGCTTTGAGCAACAGGGTTGTGGAGATATGGAGGGAGGTCCCTCTAGACTTAACAACAGACTTGACCAGGAAGTGGAGAAGGGGCAGAGGCTGACTCAGACCTGGGCATCTGGGAAGACAGGGCTACCCAGCAGGGTTGGAAGTCTTCTCAGGAGTCACTGGAGCTCAGAGACCACTTTATCTGGCTTTTTGGATGATGTCACAAATCTTAAGAAATATATGCATTTGGAGATGTGAGAAGTGAATTGGCATTTCATCTACTTGCATATCATAATCTAAGCAAATAGATGTCCCTGAGGAATTAGACAGTGGATAAGGGACATCCTAGGACTTCTGGCTAACTTTGTTAATTTGTTTGTTTGTATGTTTTTTTAATAGCCATGGCCAGCATGTTTTGAGGAACTAGTCCTTCAGCTTTGGGACCTTTCTAACCATCTCTTCCCCACATCTGGCCCTTTTTAGGGGGATTCTCATGCACGACATACATAATTGACTAAACATTTATGTAGTGTCTAAGGTCAGACAAATGCAATTTTGTCCAGATTTCTACACTAGAACAAACTGGCTAGAGTGAATTTTTCTGCTTTACTTTCTAGAAATTTGTGAAAATGTGTCCTTCTTGTGCATGAATCCTGATTTTAACTTGTCATTGTTTCTTATGTTCAGATGAGACCTGCCAGAGCCAAGTTTGACTTTAAAGCTCAGACACTAAAGTAAGTGCCACCAGTCATATTTGTTTATCTTCTTAGCTGCCTCTTTGAAACACAACAGTTTGTTTACAGAGAACAGTTGGATAAATAAAAATGGTAAAAATTGTTAAAAAACAAAACAGTAGTTTATAGAGTTTGCTATGTGCCAAGCACTATTCTAAGTACACATACTCATTACAGAGTAGGTGCTGTGATTATCCTCCCTGTTCAAATGAAGAGACCAAGGGACTATATAAGGTTAAGAACTTGCTCAAGCTGGTGTGATAGAGTTGGAATTCAAACTTAGGCAGAGGTTGGGCTCTTGTACCCTGTCTCACCCTGCCTCCTCCTATGTAGGAGTTCTGTTTGCTTAAGTGGTGGCTTGATATGACCCATCTTCTCTGTGGAAGGATCTAGACCAGTCTCTAGGAAGATAACTTTACCCGTTTTGCTACAGCATCCCAAGAGATTAAAGTCTTGCATGAACCCACAGGAGACTAGCGTTTCTCTATGTGTGTACCTCAGAGCGCTAGCCCTCTAAGATGTTTCTCAAAAAGAGAGTTCTGTTGTAGAATGAGTTGGGAAACACTGCGTGCTATATCTATACCTCCCGCCCACTTTGAAAAGATACTTTGTTGATGGCATATTAATAGCTCCAGAAGTCTTTCAAGAAAGGAACCTACAACACGATTTGGGAAATGCTACCAAAGACTAGGTTCCATATGGAAACAGCTGGCTTTTTAATCTAATTATGGATTAAAATAGTCCGTGAGTTCTCACTGGCAGCTGAAAGTACGATGATCAGCAGCCATCCCATTATCCTGCAGATGGACAGTCGCAAACCTGGTGATGACAGGGAGAGCTTCCTGTCCTCAGATGCTGGGAAGTGCTGTGTGGAGCTAAACAACCTGGGTTCTAATCTCCTCAACTGCAAAATGAGTGACCAGGCCACAGTGTCCAGAACTTAGGCACAAACCTGGTGCAGTTGGGTTTGTATGTGTTACTATAGTCCTTTAGTTTGTCAGCTAAAGGAGGTGGCTGGGTAACATACTGCAAACATTGTGGCTTTAGAATCAGGAAGTCCTGGGTTCAAATCCTGACTGTGTCACTTACCATCTCTGTGACTGTAGTCAAGTTAGCAAATTCTCCCCCACTCAGTTTTCTTTATCTGCAAGAGAGGGGTAAAAATGCCTCTCTTGCAGGGAAGCTGGGGTAATACCTGTAAAACATTTTGCGTAGTGTAGCAAAATTTAGTATTCAAAATATATTATCCTCTTTCCCACTTTAAAAACAAAACAAAACAAAACAGGATAACAGATATGTAAATTAATTTGCAGTTTAATTAAGTAGGTACCTTTTTTCTTTGAATTGAGAAAAGTCTATGTGAGATTTATTAAATGACATAGTGATGATAATATTATATTTTCTCAGATTTCATGGTCCTAAATTGTTTTTTTTAGAACAACTCTGTCAAATAGAACAGGTGAGAAAGCTGAGATCCACAGAAATTGTCACCTTTTATCAACATTGCTAATGCAGGAGAGTGGGTTCCTTCCTCCTGACTCCGTGTTTTCATCACAACATGCTGCCTTCAAAAAGAAGTCAACAAAATTTAGTGGAAAAAGTTAATCCTAGCTCCATAGTTTTTCAAGCCCTTCAGTCACTTGGTTTTACACTTCCCCATAGTCACTTACTCAAATAAGCATGCTGTCGGGGCCAGGTGTGGTGGCTTATGCCAGTAATCCCAGCACTTTGGGAGGCCGAGACCGGCGGATCACTTGAGGTCAGGAGTTCAAGACCAGCCTGGCCAACATGGTGAAACCCTGTCTCTATCAAAAAATACAAAAATTAGCTGGGCATGATGGCAATTGCCTGTAATTCCAGCTACTCAGGAGGCTGAGGCCTGAGAACTGCTTGAACCCAGGAGGTGGAGGTTGCAATGAGCCAAGATCATGCCACTGCACCCCAGCCTGGGCAACAGAGTGAGACTCTGTCTCAAAAAAAAGCATGCTGTGGAATACTTGATTCAACAAAGTTAAACAGGTTTCTTTCCCCTGGACTTCTCAGAGCCTTTGGTATGCTGATGTACACCATGATGTTCCAAAAAAGATCTAAAGCAAATCATGTTACTCAAACCCTCTCATCAGCAGACCTGGTCACGTGGTTCTTTGGGAGCTAGGGGTATGTTTCATAGTACTGGAAGAATGCAGCCCCAAATTCCCTATGGTAGACTTCCATCAGCCACAACTACAGACCCCTCAGTTCCTCTCTCTCTCACACAAGTGGGTCCTACAGGGGTGAATATGCTGAGGGTCTTGCTCATCTATGTGCCCATGGTTGGGGTTGAAGGGAGGGGAATTCATAATACCCCCCCAAAGAGGGTTGTGGCAAAAATGTGGCCCAAGACATTCTTTCTCACAGAGATAAATGCCCACATCCCCTTTATGGACCACTTGAGGGTTAGAATCCTGTTTACCAGTGTGAGGCCCACAAACTGCCTTCTGCTTTTATTCAGCACAGAACTGACTTTCTGTAGTTTTCCAGATGTGCCCTCTTTTGTTCAGCCAGCACCCCTCATGTACCGTGGGGCTTCCTGGCATCCTGCAAAGTGAGCACATGTCTTCCAAGTTACAGTTGGAGACCTTTTTTTTTTTTTTCATCTTATTGGTTTGACTCAAATGAAAAAGATCTAGGTCATTTTTTTTTAATTCAAGAAAAAGTTATAATTTTCATCCTCAAGTTTTCATTTGGTTTAAAATTTGCTTTTCTCTCTCTCTCTCTCTCTCTCTCTCTCTCTCTCTCTCTCTCTCTTTCTTTTAAAGAAGAGTCCTGGTTAAAAATTAACATCATCAGGCTGGGCTCAGTGGCTTACACCTATAATCCCAGCACTTTGGGAGGCAGAGGCGGGTAGATCACGAGGTCAGGAGTTCAAGACCAGCCTGACCAATAAGATGAAAACCCATCTCTACTAAAAGTACAATAATTAGCTGTGTATGGTGGTGCACATCTGTAGTCCCAGCTACTCGGGAGGCTGAGGCAGGAGAATCACTTGAACCCGGGAGGCGGAGGTTGCAGTAAGCCAAGATCACACCACTGTACTTCAACCTGGGTGACAGAGTAAAGACTCTATCTCAAAAAAAAAAAAAATTATATATATATGAAATTACTGAGGCAAGCAAAGGAATGGATATGGAAAAGTTGAAAAGGAGCCCAAAGAGCATTTGAAGGAAAATCTACTTTTCTTTCCAAGATCCCTATTCTGTGTTAAAAAGCAAAGGAATTAGGCTGGGTGCCGTGGCTACATGCCTGTAATCTCAGCACTTTAGGAGGCTGAGGCAGGAGGATCATTTGAGACCAGGAGTTGAAGATCAGCTTGGGCAACATGGTGATACCCCGTCTCTACAAAAAAATAAAAATAAAATAACAATTGGCCAGGCACGGTGGCACATGCCTGTAGTCCCAGCTACTTGGGAAGTTGAGGTAGGAGGATCACTTGCACCCAGGAGGTTGAGGTTTCAGTGAGCTGTGATCATGCCACTTGCATTCCAGCCTGAGCAGCAGAGTGAGACCCTGACTCAAAAAAAAAAAAAAAAAGGCAATAGAATTAACATTTATTGAGTGTTACCTACCTATACAACAGGCACCGTCCTAGGTGTTTATTTTTTAATTGACAAAGCATTCTCCAGCAACTCTGAGTTAGCTCCCAAGTTCAGTTAAAGAAACAGTGTCTCAGAGTAAGTATTGTGTCCAAGGTCCCAGAGCTAGTAAATTACAGAATTGGCTTTTGGACCAGATCTGCCTAACTTCAGAACCTTTCTACTGCATGATGATACAAAGATGGATGTGTGGGCAAGTGGGAAATAGATGGAATGATAGAAGGGTATCAGTATATCACAAATAATTTGAGGGCAATTTAAAGCAACGAAGGCATGCCTTGCACAGACAAGGATCATGAAGGTATCCTGAAGGAGACATGTTTCTTCATTTAACAAACATCAGTTAAGGCAGTTGGGTGCATTGCTTTGTGTTGCGCAAATATTCTGAGCATAACAGAGCATTCACAAAAAATGCATTTAGAAAACCACAACAAATTAATAAGGCCTTTGAGCACTTTCAAGGGCTAGTCAATTTGAATGTTAACATCCATCCTGCAAAAGACTGGAAAAATGCCAAATGTGATGTAATTTCCTGAATAGCAGGATTTTTACTTCCAAATATGGAGCCCCCTCTCTGGAATTTGTCCCTTTTGACCCCACTTAAATGTCTTCTTTTGCTACAAAACTGAAGTGTCTTAATCTTACACATATTGAAACATCTGCTAAAATGCCATTGACCCTCTGTCGACAGGGAGCTTCCTCTGCAGAAGGGAGATATTGTTTACATTTATAAGCAAATTGATCAGAACTGGTATGAAGGAGAACACCACGGCCGGGTAGGAATCTTCCCACGCACCTACATTGAGGTACTGCAGCCCCTTTTCTTTCTAAGGAAAAGCCTGACCATGTCCAAAGCACCATTTATTTACCAAATGCTTGTGTTTTGTTTCCTCCTTTTCCTCTTGTTTCCCTGCTTTCTTCTCGTCCCTTGTTCTCTTTTACCTTTTTCCCTTTCTCAGCTTCTTCCTCCTGCTGAGAAGGCTCAGCCCAAAAAGTTGACACCAGTGCAGGTTTTGGAATATGGAGAAGCTATTGCTAAGTTTAACTTTAATGGTGATACACAAGTAGAAATGTCCTTCAGAAAGGTAAGCTGCCCTTCTCATGCCTTGCTTTGGGGCTCTCCTGGATGGCACTGCTACGTGGGGAAGTGTGGCATTGCTATCACATGCCAGTCTGGGGGTGCTGGCTGTACCCTTAAGAGAAGTATGCCAGTCAATAGTTACATTAAGGGCTGGGGGTGACGGCTCACGCCTGTAATCCTAGCACTTTGGGAGGCCAAAGTGGATGGATCACTTGAGGTCAGGAGTTTGAGACCAGCCTAGCCAACATAGTAAAACCCTGTCTCTACTAAAAATACAAAAATTAGCAGGGCATGGTGGTGGGCACCTGTAATCCCAGCTACTCAGGAAGCTGAGACAGGAGAATCTCTTGAACCCGGAAGGCAGAGGTTGCAGCAAGCTGAGATTGCACCACTGCGCTCTAGCCTGGGTGACAGGGCGAAACTCCGTCTCAAAAAAAAAAAAAAAAAAAAAATTGCATTAAGGCCTATAATCCCAGCACTTTGGGAAACCAAGGCAGAAGGCTCACTTAAGGCCAGAGGCTCAAGACCAGCCTGAGCAACATAGCAAGACCCCATCTCTATTGAAGAAAAAAAAGAATTGCATTAAGGGCAACTGGCAAATTTTCTGAGGTAAGGTATTTTTTAAATAAACCCTAGGCTAATGTCAGGGTTTAACTACATTGAGCTCACTGATTAAAGATAGTATTTCTGGAGTCTTAGACATCTTTTATAAACTGTTTTCAACCAACACTCAGTGAGCAACTGATGATGTGAAAATGCACTGTGTTGGTGACTGGGTTTGACAATATATTGGTGTGACCTAGTGGAAAAAACAATTCCATCGATACCAGAAGTTTGAAAAGCTTTGAACCCAAAAGGCGCAGGTTATCAGCTATGCAGATTGTGGGAGTTAAATACTTTTTCCAAGCCACCATGTTCTTTTTTCTTTTCTTCTTCTTTTTTTTTTTTGAGATGAAATCTTACTCTTTTGCCCAAGCTGGAGTACAGTGACTCGATCTTGGCTCACTGCAAAGTCCACCTCTCAGATTCAAGCAATTCTCCTGCCTCAACCCCCTGAGTAGCTGGGATTACAGGCATACGCCACCATGTCCAGCTTTTCTATTTTTAGTAGAGATGAGGTTTCACTATATTGGCCAGGCTGGTCTTGAACTCCTGACCTTTTGATCCACCTGCCTAGGCCTCTGAAAGTGCTGGGATTACAGTTGTGAGCCACCACACCTGGCTGCCACTATTTTCTTACAGAAAAAAATGAAGATAAATGGCTCTCTCCTAGGTGGTTGTAAGAGACTTAGGTGAAACAGCATATGTGAAACCCCCACCATGACATATGGTATCTGGTTTGTGCTTAGTAGACAGGAGATGCCAGTATCATCATCATCATCATCATGTTTATTCAGAACAAAATTACACTCTGCAGAGAAGTTGTTCCTCTCAGAATCCAAACACTCCATGTGGCAAAATTCTCTGGCTTGCTAACATTGTTAAGTTACTGATTTTATTGAGGATTGAGGGAAGTGAGCACATGTGTTAAAAAAGATGGGCCATGTTATGTAATACTGGAAGCAACCCAGTTGCCGAACAGCAGGGGATCAGTAATTAAATCATTATATGTGTGTGCAACAGAATACCCTGCAGTGGTCCATTAAGCTATGCAAAGCCATTAAAAGTGTAGAATTGTATTTCTTGATAAAGAAGGTTTACTATGTGCTGTTACGTGTTTTTAAAAAAGCAAGTTGGAAAAGGGAAATACAGTGCATACCTAATTTTCTTTTTTTTTTTATTTTACTTTACTTTAAGTTCTGGGGTATATGTGCCGTGTCTTGCAGGATTGTTACATAGGTATACACATGCCATGGTGGTTTGCTGCCTCCATCCCCCCCGTCACCTACATTAGGTATTTCTCCTAATGTTATCTCTCCCCATCCCCGCACCCTCTGCTATCCCTCCCCTGGCCCCCAGCCCATACTCAATTTTCATAATATAAAATATGTGCTGGTTTAATTCACATACATAGAAGTAAATCTGGGGAGTCCATATGCCAAATATTAACAGTGTTTATCCCCAAGTGACATTGTGATGGGTGATGATTGTTTTCCGCTTTATGTTTATTTGTGTTCTGATTTTTCTATAATGATACATTAAAAGCTACCACGCTACAAAGGAAAGAAAAAAGAGAAACCTGTCAAAATCTTTGCCTTAGAGATGAAGATTGAATTATCTCTTTGTTTCACATTAGATGAGTCAGTAACACTACATTTGCTCACTGGCTTAGGGGCAAGAATCTGATCTTGTCCTTTACTAAAATACTTAAAGAACCAAGCTGAACTTTCCCGCATCAAGGTAGCTCCACTGCCATTAGCATTCTCATCCCAGTGATGTTCATTTCCTCCAGGTGCCTCAGGGAAGGTTTTCCCTGAGCAAAGGATGTGATAAACAATGCAGGATGTTGAGGCATGTAGGCAGAGGCCCTAGGCGTGCAGAGGCATGCTAGGACAAGGACCCTCGCTTTGCTGTGTCTTCCAGGGTGAAAGGATTACACTGCTCCGGCAGGTAGATGAGAACTGGTACGAAGGGAGGATCCCAGGGACATCCCGACAAGGCATCTTCCCCATCACCTACGTGGATGTGATCAAGCGGCCACTGGTGAAAAACCCCGTGGATTACGTGGACCTGCCTTTCTCCTCCTCCCCAAGTCGCAGTGCCACTGCGAGCCCACAGGTATCTAACCTTCTTGTCACCGGTTTTCATACTCAGCATGTGAGTTTTCATAGTCAACAGTGCTGATGGCACAAGACCTCCCTGGGGTGGTTTTTGAGCACTGCAATTAACTGTCTGCAGAAGAGCAGACTGTACACTGGACCTTGTTTTCATGCATACAAATGACATTTTCCAGTGCTTGGTTGAAGAAATATTATCTCAGGGGGAAAAGAAGAGCTTCAGGTAATTGCTCAGGGGATAAGGTGACTAGGGAACAAGAGCCTTTATCAGTTGGTCCCTCCTGGGTAAGTTGTTGGTGTGGGTACCCCCACTGTGTCATAAATCCTATGGTCCAGTGTGGTCCTCAGTCATCTTTGCCAAAGTTGGCCTGCAGAAGATAAAGGCTGAAAGAGAGACTTCCAGGTTCTCGTCAGCCGCCTAGACCAGATCCAAGGTATTTTTTGCATTCACTGGAGCCAGGTGACTAGAACAAGTAACTTATAGCATCTCAGTCCCAGTGGGCTGAAAGGATGTAGGTTTATAAGCATAATAAGATGTTGGCTTTCCAAAACGTCAATTATAAACAAACTTGTTCTGAAATATAAATTATTCCAAACCAATCTCCACTTTCCCAAAGCCAAGAAAATGTCCGAGCCTTGAGTTCAGGGTGACATGGTGGGGTGACGTCCTGTGAAAGAGCCTAGCCAAACCACCATGTAAGTTGTAAGGAGGTCTGCAGAGGAACAAGAGTAGGACGTGGGGGTCCAGGGTGACCCTGAGACGGTGCCTCTTGTCTGGTCCTCTAATCATTTCCTTCTTTCCCACCTGCTCATCACTGACCCCAGTAGAGGGTTCTTGGCAGAAAGCATTAAATGGCCTGACCCAGGGCTTCCTGCACAGTGATAGCTGCATCCTGTTGTCTTATAGGACAGGGTGTGTGACTGGAGCTGGACATTCTGCTTTGTAAGGATGCAGAAAGCTCAACTACATTCTTCACTTGACTGTGGCCAAGAGTGATTGTAAAACAAAATCACTACACTACTCATACTCCTCTCTGGAAGACTCTGCTGAGCTCCCAGAGAAAAATAAAACCCCAGGGAAGGGCCACGGGAGTGCTGGGCCACCTTTCCCCATGGTTCTGGGTCAGGGATCTGGTGCACAGGGGCGGGGCAGGCCGGGGTGAAGAGCTTCCAGTGTGTCCCTTTGAAAATCTGATTCTGCAAAGCAGGCTGGCCTCATCCGTTGCTACTCTGACGGGACCTCTCTCCGTCTCCACACCTCTTGCTGCTTCCTCCACCCCCTGCCTGTTCACATCAGGCTTAGGCTCACATGTGCTCACACGCACAGTCACCCACATCCCGGTTTCTCCCCAGATGTAACCTAATGATTTCCTTTTTGGACACCAGAGTGTCCTGCTCATCCTCTCCATTTCATTCCTCTTTATATACCCCTGATGATTATTTTCCTTCTTTTTCCTTTATGCTGACACGTGTACCTTTTGCTTCTTTCTTTTGTTTTCCTCTCTCTCTTCTTTTTAAGTTTTCCAGTCACAGCAAGCTCATCACGCCAGCCCCCTCATCTCTGCCCCACTCCCGCCGAGCCCTGTCCCCTGAGATGCACGCTGTCACCTCTGAGTGGATCTCACTGACTGTGGGGGTCCCAGGCAGGCGTTCTCTGGCCCTGACCCCACCCTTGCCTCCTCTGCCAGAGACTTCTGTCTATAACACTGACCACCTCGCCTTGTCCCCGAGGGCCAGTCCCTCCCTGTCTCTCAGCCTCCCGCATTTGAGTTGGTCCGATCGTCCTACCCCACGATCAGTAGCTTCTCCACTGGCCCTACCTTCCCTGCACAGAACCTACTCCCTAGCACCCAGTTCCCAGGCCTCCCTTCACATCAATGGAGACGGTGGCGTCCACCAAGATAGCTTCTCGCAGCTGCCGCTGGGGAGCTCTGATAGTGTCATCTCCCAGCTTAGTGATGCCTTTAGCAGCCAGAGCAACAGGCAGCCGTGGCGCGAAGAGAGCGGACGATATGAGAGGAAAGCAGAGAGGGAGGCAGGCGAGAGAGGCCCTGGTGGACCCAAGATCTCTAAGAAGAGCTGCTTGAAGCCTTCAGACGTGGTCAGGTGCCTGAGTACTGAACAGAGACTCTCAGATCTCAACACCCCTGAGGAGAGCCGGCCCGGCAAGCCCCTGGGTAGCGCTTTTCCAGGAAGTGAGGCTGAGCAGACAGAGCGGCATAGAGGTGGCGAGCAGGCGGGGAGGAAAGCTGCTCGCAGAGGTGGGAGCCAGGTAGGACTGCAGCATGCCGCGTGTGCACTTGGCGTCTCACTTGGCAGGGTGGGCTGCACGTCTCGCCCCTGGTCCATCTACGGAGGCCAAGTGAATGCTGGTGAGACCATTTGCTTGCCTCAGGAGCAAAGAGATGGCTCCAGAGGGAATGGGGGGCCGGGGAGGGGGGGATGTGAATTCAGGTGCCAGGACTGGATACATTTGGAGGAAAAGGACAGGCTATATCTGGCCACTTGAGGTCATTGGGAAGTTATCTCTACTTTGGATGCCTCCTGGCCTGCCTCTCGTCCCATGTATGCCTTGGAGATGAGCCTCGGTTTGCTTTGACTAACACAGCTGAGAACACCAGGCTTTGGTGTGGTGTGGTGTGGTTTGGTTTTATGTAAGATGCACTTTGTGTCCATAACCCATGGTGCTCTGCTAGTGCTCGGTTCTGTCAGGTCTTCGTCCTGTCTCGTGTTTGTGTGGGAATGCAGGGCCTTTGTTTGCCATGAAACAAAGGCATTTTGGTTCTGGAGAGGAGAATGTAGGTCTCCTGGGGCCCTGATGATGTGGGGTATCCTTGAATAGGCACCCCAGGGTTTTGGGTGAGTGTCCCATCTTATCTCTGAGTCAGCTACAAAGATTCCAGCATTTGGACAAAGGTAGCCTTAGGGTGTTTTGAAGCCTGAAATTTTTTTTGGAGAAATGAACCTAGCAACTAAATAAATCACAGTTCTGATTTTGGCTACGCTGTTTACTACTGTGAAAGTCAAAGACTTCGGGCACCTTCTCCGAAGCAGCCAGGAGAAGTTTTTGGATGCCAGCTTCACCTCTTACTATATAGTGACTTGGAGGTTACTTCTCCTCTCTGAGACTCAGTTTCCTCATCTGTAAAATGGAGGTGATAGCACCTACTTCAAAGAGTGGTTGAGAAGATTCTTTGAAATAATGTGTGTGAAAGACCTAGCATAAGGGCTTATGATCCTGGGAACATGGTCAGCACTTCGTAAATGGAAGCTACAGAGCCACTATCTTGGGTGATCTAAAACTGCTTCTAGAACTGAGAATATTCTTAGAACCTCCTTAGACCCAGATTGAGTTCCTGAAGATGTCTCCAAGCCATTTATTAAGTATCTAGTATGTATGATATCTGCAGTAAATAGTGCTTAACCCTTAGGCTTGCATCCTCAGTTTCCCTTGAGGCTGTAGTTATTCAGTCTATCAATAAGGCCTGCAGTTACCAGCCTCTGGGCAGAATACAGGGGTCATTGGTCTCTCCTCTTGGGGAGCCTAAGATCAAGGCTCCTCAAAACAAGAAGGAGCCTAGCAAACACAGCAATATCACCAGGGCAATAATAGAGACATGCTCAGGGGACACAGGAGTACAGAGGCCTGAGACACACTAGGCCAGACCTCCAGCTCCAGCCAAGCACATGTGGGCCGGTGGACCAACACATCAGGAGTGGGGATCACTGACGGTGAGCCAGCATGGGGCAGTTTATAAGAAATCAGGCTTGCCGGGCGCGGTGGCTCAAGCCTGTAATCCCAGCACTTTGGGAGGCCGAGGCGGGTGGATCACGAGGTCGAGAGATCGAGACCATCCTGGTCAACATGGTGAAACCCCGTCTTTACTAAAAATACTAAAAATTAGCTGGGCATGGTGGTGCGTGCCTGTAATCCCAGCTACTCAGGAGCCTGAGGCAGGAGAATTGCCTGAACCCAGGAGGCGGAGGTTGCAGTGAGCCGAGATCGCGCCATTGCACTCCAGCCTGGGCAACAAGAGCGAAAACTCCGTCTCAAAAAAAATAAAAATAAAAATAAAAATACAAAAATTAGCTGGGCATGGTGGCGCACGCCTGTAATCCCAGCTACTCAGGAGGCTGAGGCAGGAGAATTGCCTGAACCCAGGAGGCGGAGGTTGCGGTGAGCCGAGATCGCGCCATTGCACTCCAGCCTGGGTAACAAGAGCGAAACTCCGTCTCATTAAAAAAAAAAAAAAAAAAGAAAGAAATCAGGCTTAGCCTTTTGCTAGAAAGCCACTTAACCTCTAACATGCGAAGCAGGAATGGAAGCAGCTGGTCCCTGGTAGGGCAGTCATAAGGATTCAGTGAGGTAATTAATGGAAGGTGTTGCTTGGCGTGTGCCAAGGCTCCATGTGTAAGGTCTCCTGCTGCTGTGTGGGGCTGCAGGAAAGCAGCAATACCTGGCAAAGGCTTTTCCTGGCCCTGGAACAGGTTGAGGAACGAATGGAAGAGGTGGTGAAGTGGCTAATTGGAAAGTATTAAATGTCTCTGACACAGGAACAATTCTATAAATGCTCTAAGTCAACCCAACGCTCCCAGGGACCTCCTTATTGTCAGTAGTGAGTCATCATCCCGGCCCAATTCCAGCATCCCGTGTGTACAGGAAGTGCGCACGGTGCCGGACCTCCGGGTAAGGTTAGGGGTATATGCTTCCTGCTTCCTAAGGCAGGATAGGAGTGGAGTAGCTGGCAATACTGAAGATTATGTTGATTGGAAAGCCAGGCTTGTTGAAACTTGGTGTTCCTTTCTTGGTGGGTCTCCAGACCCCAAGTGTACCGCTTCCTGTCCCCTCCCTTCCTCCTGCCCTCCTGGCACAAGCCCCTTCTCCATGGGTGTGCCCAGGCTGTGGCCTGGGGCTCGCTCCCCCTTGAGAGCTGGCGTTTGTGTGAAAAGCGCCGCTGCGCACACCTCCTGTTTAGCCCCCTCATTTTCCCCTCCTGTGGCTAGAGCAGGAGTTGACAGCTCTGGAAACGGGGTCCTTCAGAAGGGGCTCCTGTGTCTTGGGCCCCCTTTGGGTGACAGACATGCTAAAAATGGAAAGGACTTACATGACAACTGTTCTCTGGCAGCCCCATCAGGATGACGTGACCACAGTCTGTGTTGCTTATTTGGAAAAATGCATTCCAGACCAGTTCATGTATCAAGAAAATTGTCAGCCATTATTCTCCTTGCTGAACTAAACAACTGAACTAAAAGTTCACTTTCATTGTAGGTATTAGGGAAGTAGGTTGAGAACTGACCAATAATGAGAGGGAATTTTACCTGAGAACCTTAAATGAAAAGATATTCTGAAATGTTATGATCATTTACTCTTTCAAGCATTTAGGATGTTCCATGCACTTTGCTGCAAGAGATAAAGAGGGGTGAACAAAATCAAAGCTTCCATTTAGATGTAACTTCTAGGAAGCTGTTGGGGCCAAGGGAAAGTTTTCCTTTTGTCCTTTGAAGCTTTCCCTAAAAAAGCAAAATATTTTTTTTCTTTTCTTTCTTTTTTTTTTTTTTTTTAAGATGGGGTCTCACTCTGTCACCCAAACTGGAGTGCAGTGGCATGATCTCACTGCAACCTCCACCCCCAGGTTCAAGAGTCCTCTCACCTCAGCCTCCCTGAGTAGCTGGGACTACAGGCACATGCCACCACGCCCAGGTAATTTTTGTATTGTTTGGTAGAGACAAGGTTTCATCATGTTGGCCAGGCTGGTCTCAAACTCCTGACCTCAAGTGATCCGCCCACCTCGGCCTCCTGGGATTACAGGTGTGAGGCACCATGCTTGGCCAAGAAGCAAATTAGTAGAAGAAAAGGCATACAGATTTATTTGATTATAGTTTTATGTGAAATGGGATCCTTCAGAATGAAGACCCAACCACCCAGTGGAGTGTGAAGCTTATACCACCTTGAGGCTACAGAAGAATGGGGTCTCAGAGGATGGCCAAAGACAGGTTATGGTGGTAAATCAGATTTTTTTTTTTTTTTTGAGACGGAGTTTCGCTCTTGTTACTCAGGCTGGAGTGCAATGGCGCTATCTCGGCTCACCGCAACCTCCGCCTCCTGGGTTCAAGCAATTCTCCTGCCTCCGCCTCCCTAGTAGCTGGGACTACAGGCGTGAGCCACCGCGCCCGGCCGGTAAATCAGATTTAAGCAGCAAGACAGGTTATGGGAGGAGAAAAGTGAAGGCTCGGCTGGCAAAGGGGGTCTTGTTATGTAGATGAAAGTTCACAGGTAGCAGCCTCAGAGAGAATAGATGGTAAATGTTTCTTTTAGGCCTTTAAAGGTGTCAGACTGTCAGTTAATCTTTTCTAGATCTAGGCAAAGGAAAGCCTCAGAGAAATCCTGGCTGCATCGGTACACTGATGCAGCCAGGATTTGTATTTGTGTTTTCCTCTACAAATACAAATCTCCTGCACAAAAGACAGCTTTGCAGAGCTACCTCTTTTTGCTGGCTCTCTGACAGCCATCTCAACATATGTCAAAGAAATATATTTTGAAGTATGTAAAATATTCAGATTTCCTTTAATGCCTTTCCTGACAGTCTCCCCTTCCCCTGCATGACTGGATTCAGTGCTCCGACTTTGTGCTGCCACAGCCCCTGCAGTGGTCTGGGCGAGCCTCTTTCTGCCCACTTTGCTTGCCTGTGTTCCGGTACAGTATCAGTGCTCCAAGGGTGGGGCCATGATAGCTGATATATGGAAGGCACTCAGTGAATATTTGCTGAATGAACAAAACAAAACACATGCCAGACATGGTGGCTTACACCTGTAATCCCAGCACTTTGGGAGGCTAAGGCAGGTGTGTCACTTGAGGTCAGGAGTCTGAGGCCAGCCTGGCCAGGATGGCAAAACTCCACCTATTCAAAAAATGCAAAAATCAGCTGGGTGTGGTGCTGCGCACCTGTAATCCCAGCTACTTGGGAGGCTGAGGTGGGATAGTCGCTTGAACCCAGAAAGTGGAGGTTGCAGTGAGCAGAGACAGGGCCACTGCACTCCAGCCTGGGTGATAGAGCAAGACCCCATCTCAAAAAAAGAAATGACAAATAATGACTGACCCCAACTAAAGGATTTTAGGATCTCCACTGGGGGAGTAAGACCTGTTCACAAAGAATTATAATGCAAATAAGGAAAGAGAGTCACAAACAGTACACGCTGGAAGTTCAAGATGGGGAGAAATAATAAGCAACTGGGGAGGAAGGTGGTTACCTGGAAGAAAATTGCTGGGCAGGG